GAGCACTTCTGAGCTCAAGCTGGCTCCATGCTTCAGGAAATGCTCCCCTGGCATGTATCCCTCCTGTAATCTGAAGCTCTGGAACGTGTGACGCACACATCAGCTGGCTGAAACCCCCTAGTACAGAGTAATATCATTACAGCCACATATTTTAAATTATGTCATTACCAGTCCCCATCAGCTTGAAATGTAAATTCATTACTATTAAATCATGGGTTTGCTCTGTCCAGACCTTCTCTAAATTAGAGGCTTGTCATTTCTCCTTTTCAGTTGTGCTTGTGCCTTTTTGGATGATGATCCTGCCTATGAGGGCTACACAAATCCTCTGACAGGCTCCCTTCCTACATGCCGCCGCAGCCCTCGACTGCTTTCTAATGGTTATTATGTTTTGAGAGAAGACAGTTTTCTGTCTGATGAAGAGGGCAACATAACACTGACACCATCCCACACAAGTGTTACATATAAAGAGAATTTATTTCGGTAAGTGAGCTATGTGCAGATTTTACTCCATGTTGGCAGTTGCCTCCACATCTCTGGCCTTATCTAGAGGTGTATCTGGAGGTGTCTTTGTGTCTGTCTACATTTTGCTTGGCATAAGACTGGCATTACTTCTGATTGGGAACATCTCAATTGCTTGAGTGCAATAAATGAAATTACCTGATTTTCAGTCACATCTTACTACCTAAAAACTCTTTAGTGCTATGATTTGTTGCTATAATTGAAATTGTGTCCAGTAAAGGAAAATAAGAGAGCTACAGCTCATTTTGCCAATGGGGTGTTACTCTGATGACTAAGAAAAATGTATGTATATAAAAATGTCTTTGTCTAAAACAGACACACACATACATATATATATATATATATATATATATATATATATATATATATATATATATATATATATATATATATATATATAAATAAAAAGGTCTGGTCCTGGCATTCTTACTCAGGGAAAAACATCTCATGATTCAGAAGACCAACAATTTAAAAAGGTATGTAAAATGTAGTTAAAAAAAACTGGAATTCAATGGATTTAGACTACCCCAAATAGGATAGAGCAGTGAAAATCACAGGTAGCACTCACAGTACTATCAGAGAGCAGTAGCTGTGATGTCATTTGGTACCACAGTACCCAGTATCACAACAGCATGATCAGCCTTGCTGTTGATACATTCCCTGACATGTTGTGGTGTGCAGCTGCCACTCCTGGTGACATGCCCAGGGTCAAGAACAGGGCTGGGAGCAGCACCCAGAACCTGGTTCTTTCATATCATTTCTGCAAGCTTTAGAGCTCTGTCCATGCTCAACAAGAATAATTAGCTCTATTCCTTGGCAACATATCTTTTCTTTCTAGTGTGTTCAGGCGAAGGAAGAAAATCCGTCGCTCTCTTGACAGCTTGTTCAATCTCAGTGCCTCCAGCTCATGGCTCAGCTCCACCATCCCCAGCAGGATGGATTTCTCCCATGTAGAGGAGCCTTGGCCTGATGGATGCAGTAAACTAGAAGCCAGTCACGGTGATATTGGTAAGCCCTGGTCAGGTACCTGGTAATCAAGATACAACATTGCAGTCTGTGTTTAGTGTGAATTGGGTATCTCTTTCTGGAAGTTATGCAGGTGATGTCTGTCAAGGTGTGCAGGTAAAGCGTAGAAAGAAATACAGAACTCTAAGGGATAAACAGAGCTCTGGCCATTAAAACTGAGTATGAGTCTGCAAAGATCTCTGTGCCAAAAAGTCATTTTTTGACTGAATTTGAATGCAAAGTCATCACCAGGAATGTTTATTCTGGTGTAATTAATATTGTATGCTTTCACCTGGCTCTTTCAATAGCTTTATCTGTTATGCTCTATGCAGTTTTGTCTTTACTCTGCATATTTTCTCCTGCATACATTTGAATCCACCAATTCCCTACCCATAACAATTTGCAACTTCTCCTGTGATTCAGTAATTAATTCCTAAATTCATTAATACAAAGTCTCAGAGCTCTTCTTTTGTGCAATCTCAGTTATATGTGCATTTCTTGTAGGTGATTCAGACTTTTCTTCTGAATATAATAACCATGTGTCACAAAGGCAGATTCCAGCATCTAGTGGAGCATTTCTCACCAAAGATGGTGAGTTTCTTCATTTTGAGGAACCACTCTGTGCTTCAAAATCCTTCTCTTCATTTATGATAAATGCAAATGAAGAAAATTGGAGCAATGCAGGTATGTTATGTTCTTCTTCTGGCATGCCTCATTTTTAGAATGAAGTGAAAATACTTTAAAAATATGGATCTAGCCCCTTCCAGAATGGAATTTATTTACTAAAGCATATATTTTAAATAAATTATTAAGAATAACAAGATCATAAAAATGGTATTTGATTAATACCCCCTGCTCACATCTTTCCCTCGCCCATTTTTCAGAAAAAAAAAAGAGGAGTGAAAAGGAAAATGGAAGAAAGGGCATGGGAGCAAAAACTGAAACAGGCAATTATGCAGAAAGGCTTGTTTTCTGAGAGCATGGAGGGCACAGTGTTTCTGTAGTTGTGGGGGAAAAAGACTCCTGAGAAACACCCAGAGCATGAAAATTAGGTTTCTGCTTTGAATCACTCCAGGCAAGTTCTCTTTAAAAGCAACTGAAGAGACTGGTCTCACAGGCTGAAGGTAGCCTTTGCAAACACCTCCTGTAATATATTTACTTTCATTAAAACCCATTATTTTCCTGATTTTTATTTTAGAATCCAGGACAGTGAAAAATGTCGTTTCTCATATGGTTGCACTGATCATGTGTTTAATCATTTCAGTATGTACAAGGTAATTTTTATTTCTTTTATTTTCTGTTTCTGACATGAGTGCTTGCTTCATTTCAGCTGGTGAATAAAAAATTAAGGTTTTCAAAATTAACTTTGAAAAAATTTTCGAAGTTATATGTAACTTACTGTGAAAATGTATTTTTACATGATAGTCAATGCAGGCAAATATCTGTGCTATATAGATAGGCACAAAAATAAGAAATATGTATGCAGATATGAAAGCTACTTTGCCAAGTGTGCTTTGACAGGGGTTTTGGCAGGCTGAGAAGAATCAGAATGGATCCATGCCTTTCTAAGTGTGTTTTTCTCTCAGTCTGAATGCTGAGGTCTTTCTTTCCAGAAGATAATCTTCAATAGTTTACATAATTTAAAGTTTCAAATTACAGTTCACCTACCAGAGTTCAGAGGGTTCACCTGCAAAAACCCTTCCTCCTCCTCCCACCCAGGCTTCACCTCTTTTAACCCAATATGCAGCCCTTGTTTTTTTTTAACCTTTCTGGGTATTATGTTCTCAGGTATTTTCTGGGAGGACTGTCTGCCACTTTGTTGCTGATTATTTTAGTTTGTAAGTATAGAATTTCTTTATTTCCAACATAATATTTTTACTAAGTCACATCTGAGGACCAAATTCTTTCCTTGGATGTATATCCATGTGTCTTAATGATCCTAATAAGAGCAGTATATGGTCAAATGGGGACAAATGTAGCCTTCAATCCATTACAGATTTTGCATTTTAATTTCACAGTTCTTTTGTCCCAGGATGCTGCTGTGCCATCTTTCTTCACTCTCGATACGTTTTTCAAAACAACTAAGTTTTGGTAAGAGGTTCCAGTGTCATGTGATGAATGGAGGAATTTAGAAATTTTATATTAAGAAGAGGAAGGAGATTCCTCCTGTTGTTCCCCTGTCAGAAGATAGAAGGAGAGATCTGAAGTTACTGATGCGTTTGGCTTTTCCAGTTACTGATTTGTATTCATAGAAACTTTCTGTTAATTCAAAAACCTGTATTTTCATAATGTGCAAGAAATGTTGTAGCAGAAAAAGGAGGTAAACCTAATATGCCATAACATGATGCAGACACAGTTCAACAGTGTAATTTAAGATTCCAGAGGTGCATTTTCAAGCCTTGCACTGAAATCCACTCCCAGACCTAGCCTTTTTTTTAACAGGAAAAAATAAAACCCAGCTAGTTATGATGCTTGCCACATCACCAACATCTAGGGACTACAGAATTGATATAATTTGGCCTCTCCAATGCACCATTAGCTCACACATGTGCCTTCATGCCGAAAGCAAGTATGGATGTGCTGGATTTATGAATTACCATTCTTCCACCTTTTTTTGCACCACCAAATTTCTAAATGTGTAGAATACAAAATACTTCTAAGACTAAAAGGTTTGTGCTTATCTGAATTTTTATGGGCTGAAAGTAAAGCTCAAGAGGATCTTTTTTGTTTCTGAAACTGTCAGGATTCAGGAGATCAGTGTATGCCAAGGCACCAAGACAATCTGGCAGACCTCAGCCTCAGAATTGGTTACGTTGGAAGTCAGAAACAGCAAGGCACAACTTGGACAGCCCCAGTGCAATGACAGTCCCATTTTTTGACAGATAATGTATCAGTTTGTTGCTATGTCTCTAGTCCCTAAAACTGTGGTTTTACCAAAGACACCAGGACCAAAGGTCAGGTTTATCAAAGGTCAGGACCAGTGTGCTGCAAGCACATGCCCCAAGTGCTGCTTTCCCTCTTCCTAAATAGCTTGGCCCTGAGTCATAGCAAAGCTGTTTTTCACCAGAGAAAAACACACTCAGAGCTTTCCAGCAGCAGGTATACAGAGAATGCCTCTTTTTTGCTCATCACAAGTGAGAAGTTACCTGCTTAAACAAGTAGTCCTGCAGTTTAGCTGAATTTGTCAAACAGGACCTATTGATAATATATAATAATTTTAAGAAACTGTGATTTAAATCAAGACATACAAAAATGTATTATTCTTTTTTCCCCCCACAGAATATAATAAAAAATAAAGAAAAATTGGTAAGTACATGTTTAAGTTTAGAAAGAATTCCATATTCCATATTTTTGGGAATGAGTCGTATTAGGGTCCAAACATACCAGGAAGGTTCTGGTATGAACAGAAAGGACTTTTCATAAAAAGAAGGTTTAGCTACAGGACCCTTGCCAGTCTTCACTGCAAATTACTCCACTTTTATGTCTGCAATTCCTTTTTTATTGTATTTGGATTATATATTTTCTTTCTGTTGTCTGGCAGCAGTGTCTAAATAGTGTAAGCTGTTAACAATTGCTGTGCTTCAGCCCAGAGAAAGCATGTTTTTCAGTAACAGGCAAAACAAGTCTTCCTTTTCCCAAGTGTGAACTGAACAGCAGGACCAGGTGCTGTGCTGCTCTGAGCTGGTTGCATTCCACTGAAGCAGTGAAGCAGCATCAACATGAACCAGTCCAGAATATCTGAAAAACACTTAGACATTCTTGTATTCCCCATTCTTTTTCCTCATCCTCACACTCCAGTTTCTGCTTATCAAACATTTCTAAGACTCACTGCAGCTCAAACCCTTAAAATAAGTGCACTGATTTATTTGTACTTGGAGTTGGTCATCCCAGTCCTGTTTCTGTTATTTCCTTTATGACTTTACTGTGTACAGTTAAAATTAAAAGAAGGAACCAAGTGGAGCTGTGCCCAGTTTGTGTTCCTTATAGTGTGGATAGAACAGCCTTCTTCATCAGTTTCCTGGTTGAGTGCAGTTCAGCTTCTGAGATCTAAAGGCATCTGCACAGCTGCAGACACAACCTGGAAAACCTTTCTTTCAGCTCTTAGAAGGAGGATGTTAATCCTGAGAACAAAGCATTTTAGAAAGGAGTGCAGGCATTTGATCCCTTTGCCTATGGTGACAAAATGTCCTATTCACAGCATGCCAAGCTGGGGGTGCCATGTATGGCACTTCTTAAAGTCGGTGGAACTGTGGGAGGGCTGAAACACCAGAGCTTGAAAACTCACTCTGGGTTTGAAAGCCACTGTCAATGTTAACCAAAGCAAGTGCAACAGGATGGAGTAGAGAACTTGGCATTTGTTGTGTGGCAGGGCTAAACTAAACACAGACTGACACAGGTTACTGCAAGACAGGACCTTCCACAGCTCAAAACATGCTTGTCTCTTGCACTTTGTAAAAATTTAAAATCAGAGTTGTTACTTCTCTGCATTTTGAAACTAGTTCAATAACAGTTTTAATTTTTCCTCCTCCTCCAATTTATTTTCATCAGCTCTTCAGCATTGAATTCCTGGATACCTTCTTATGGCCATGGTTACAGGTTCCTGTGGGAAAAAAAAATAACAGGCTTGACAGCATTCTTCCTCCAAAACACAATGAGTTTTAGCTTTAGTTTTCTTCTGGTCAAATAGGGCTTCAGTTCTTGGTGGCTACCTGAAAGAAGTAACACCAAGGAGTGCTATATCTGTAGTATCTTATCTTGATAATGAAAAGTGTTTTGTAATTCCTGTGAATTTTTTTTTTTAATAAAAATTATGTAATCCCATGTTTGATATATTAATTCCTTGTTACAACATACTATCAAAGATAATGGATTTGGATTATGGCTGAGTACATGTGATAACTGATATATTGTTCAACTAAAACAGTCCTTATAATATTCATCCTCATATTTACTTATAGTTAATGCACTTGAATAATATTTTAAGTGTTAAATAATTCCTCTTCTTTATTTAAAATACAGAAACAACTGAGAGTAAATATCATTATGTGAAATGTAAATATTTTGTTATCTATTTTATGCCTATCATAAAAGGTTCATTACTAAAATAACTTTTAAAACTAAAGGAATATAAAGATATTTAGTGTTTAAATAATCTCTTGAAATAATAATCTGGAAATTTAAATCCCATTCTGAGAGAAAAGTCTAAAACTGTAATTACTCTGCAGTCATCAAAGTAAACTAGAAACTAGAAGAGTTCACCGTAAACTCATTAGTTCACTGTAAGCTATCAAAAAAAAATCCAATTGAGATTGAAAAAAAAGGTCTACAGTAAATTGCTATAATCTATTCATAAATATGAACTGTAAATTAGAATTGTTCTGATCTGGAATGAGGGAACTCCTGGGACATTTTCTCAATTGGAGTTCAAGGGCTAAAAAAAAAGTGCTCAGGATCTATTATTATCTGCCTTCCTTGATATTCATGAATGTTGAATTAACAAAGATCTAGTCAGTTATCAGACTGGTTGGCTTTGGCAGTTCCCTTTGGTATATTCCTATTGACATAAAGACATGCCTAATCTTTTTTCTCTCAAAAGAGGCATGTGTTTCTTGTTGTTGAATAAAAAATTGAAGCCAGGATTTTTCTGATAAAAAATGAAGAAAAAATTTCCAATCTAAATGTGTAAATCCAGACTTTCAGAGGTAATGAGTATTTGCAGCTTTTGGTAACTACAGTATCAAGCCTAGGATAACTGTGTAATATAATTCTCTCACCATAAAACCACTTATTGATTAGTGATTAATTGATGCATATACTAAAAGAGAAAACAACTAGAATTTTATGGGGTTTTGTCCACAATGATTAAACATTTACTCCCCTTTAATATAGCAACTTATTTATAGAAAAAGAATCAAATAGAAGTGCTGAACTGTAGATTTCTACCCCCCCCCCCCATGTATTTTTTCAGACAATGTATTGCTTTTTTAATATATATGATCTTTACACCTTGTCTTATACTCTCTTACTTCAGCTGTGTTCAGCTGAATTTCAGGGTCATTCCTGAGTATATATCATATAGTACTTTATAGGGGAATGTTCATGTGGAAGATGATAATATTGATGCCATTCCTTAATTTTTAATGTTCCTGGTCTGTCAGCAAGTCTGGTTTGTAGTTATCCTGAAAGGATTACTCACAGAAGCCAAACCATACGAAGATTACCATCTTTAAGTCATATGGGATAAACTACACGGTACAGAATACAAGTTGTGACCACTAAGTTTGCAGAACTTAGTCCAGTTCTGCAAAATCTGATTTTTTATTTAGATTTTTAGGAATTGGCTGCACTATTTTGTAAACCTCTTTGCACATTTTTATATACACTGAGCAAAACTGTTACTTCATTTATATAGTTTTTTTTTTTTGTGGTTTCTCATGCTGCCTTGATTTCCCCCATCTTTGGCATTTCTATATCAGTAAAGTTGTTCTTGTTCTTATCTCTTGTATTTGAGAGTATTTTTCAGTAATGGAGATTGTTATTATTAGAAATAGCATATATTTCAGTGAATTTCTTATTTGTGAGTTCATATCCTGCTCTATAGATTGTGTGCTCTTTGGGGGAGGGTTTTTTGGTACTTTAGTGCAAACATAAAGTCTTGTTTTGTACTGGTGACTACGTGACCTAGCACCATAGCAAAATAAAATAAAATAAAAAGTAATATTTAAAAAAAACCAGTAATTCAATAGGAAATAAATAAAAATACATAGGTTTAAATTCTGAGCGGGTATCAATCAGCTGACTTACAGCAGCCAAGATTCTAAGCTGCAGTATTTCAACAGCTTTGTCCATGGAGATCAATTTTCTGGGTTTGGAGCACCTTACATGATTGTATATATGGACAAAGTCAAGACATGTTCAAAATACTTCTGTATTAATAATGCTATAGATGCTATAAATGCTAACACCGTAATAATAGTGCTATAAAACTTATTTTTGTCATTACATAGAAATACATATTGTGCTGTTTTACACATGTAACAAATAAAGTTGTATATTAAACTGAATGGTAAACTGAGTTTCTTCAGGACAGGCATGCCAGAGGTGATTTTTTTTCTTCCTTCTCATATCCAGTCCTGTTTATAATGTGGCTCTTTACATTATCTCTGGTATGTACATTGCTTCATGCTAGGATTTCAGGCTTGTGCTGCTGAAAACTCTTGGTACATAATTTGAGAAAAAAAAAAAAGAACAACTGTGTGAAAATAAAGACAACAGCAAATAATATACTTCAGCACCTAACTTTGCCCTGTGTGCCAGACCACCAGGTGAGGACCAGTGTGTTGTAAACACATACTCCAAAATGCTGCTTACTGTCTTCCTGAATAATTTAACCCCTAGTCACAAAAAAAACCCCTGTTCTTCACAAGAGAAAAACATACTCTGAGAGCTTTTCAGTCACTGGTGCACAGAGAAGTCTTCTTTTGTGCTCATCATAAGTGAGAAGTTACCTGCTTGAGGAAGTAGTCCTGGAGCTGAACTAGATTTATCAAACAGGACCTATATAAGTACTGATTAAAACAAACTGTGGCTTAAGTCAGGACATAGAAGAACAAGGGTTTGGAGTGAAGCTGAGCTGGAGAGAAAGGAGAAATAAAAGGAGGGTGGATTTAGATTTGTCATTATGTCTCTCTATCCTAGTCTGTTTAATTGGCAAAAAGTTAAATTACTTTCCCCAAATTGAATCAGTTTTGCCCATGATGGTAATTGTTGCTTGATGTCCCTGCCCTTATCTCAATCCCTGAGCTTCTTATAATATTTTTCCTCATCTTCTGTTGAGGCTAGGAAGTGAGAAAAAAAAATAGCTGGTGGGCACCTGGCATCCTACCAAGTCAACCCACTCATCTTAGTATTTAGTAATCTAATTAATTGCAGATTTTATATTCCTTTCTTCAGAATTATCATCTAGGATACCTGAAAAAAAGGAAGAACACTTCCCCCTTGATTTTAGCTTAACCAAATAACATAGGCATTTCAATGTTATACAATGTAAACACAGGCTTTAAAATACTGTACATAGTGAAAACAAGATCTTTTTCCTTGTTTGAAATTAATACTTTGATTGTCAATTCTGCTCCCAAGTAAAAAAAAAATAATATTACTAGTGAATGATTATTATTTGAAGAGGCCTGCATTTTTATATAAATGTGTAGGTAGGAGGATTAGTGGCCCTTTTTTAATGTCTGTGACTCTGTGCAGGGGCCCTGGGCCACTTCCAACCATCTGTGTAAACCTTGCTGTCCTCTGAGTGGAGTTGTTCCTTATCCAGTCAGACAGGCCAGGACAAATACTGTGGAGTCAAAGGGCATTAACTACTTCTGCTCCTTTATGTCTCAGCATCTCCATAAATCTCAGGAGCCTTAACTCAATGGCACCTTCATACTCCTCTAATCTGCAATATAGATAGAAAGCTGCAGAGAGGCTGTGGGGAGTCACATTTACATCAGCGGTAAATGGCTAAATAAATGAATTGGATCATTATAAAAATTCCTACTGCCTTATTTAAATTTATAGATGAATTTCCGTTTAGTAGAAGGTGCCCTCTCAGCTTGATTAGACCTTTAGGTTAATGAAGACAGGTAGGAAATACAGAATGACTTTCCTGATGTTACCACTTTGATCTGATGCCAGTTGTGATACAGAATTGGAACAGGCTGCTTAGGGAAGCGGCAGAGCCACCATCCCTAGAAAAATCTGGAGGAGGTGTAGACCTGGCGCTTGGGGACATGGTTTAGCGGTGACTTGGCAGTGTCAGATTAAAGGGTGGGCTTGGTGATCTTACAGGTCGTTTCCAACCTAAACTGTTCTACGATTCTAAAATTGTAAAAGAGCGTGAATCACCGGAACAGGCTGCTTCCACCAACAACGGAAAACAAGCTTTCAGCCAAACTGCGTGAGGCAAGCGAGCTGCCGGATATGCAGGAGGGGGACAGAAGTGTCACGCAAAGGACGAGACGTGGGATTTATGCCTGAGGAAAAGACACCGATCTTCGCCTGCCGAGGGAAGGCAGGGCCGGGAGCCGCGGGGCCCGGAGCCGCCGCAGCCCCGCACCCCGCAGCTCCGCAGCCCTCAGCCCCTCAGCCCCGCACCCCTCAGCCCCTCACCCTTCAGCCCCACAGCCCACAGCCCCTCAGCTCCGCAGCCCCTCAGCCCCTCACCCCGCAGCCCCTCAGCCCCGGAGCCCCTCAGCCCCACACCCCTCAGCCCCTCAGCCCTGCCCCCCGGCTCGCGGCCGCGGCGCGGCCCCGCCGCCCCAGCGCCGCCCGGCGCCGTTGCCGTGGCAGCGCGGCGCGCCCGGGAGTGGCGGCGGCGGCCGGGGGCGGCCATGGCGCGCAGTGAGTGTCTGGGGGCTCCGCTCCCCTCCCTCCCCGGCCCCTGCCCCCGCTCCGGGACGGGCCCCGCGCCTCCTCCGTGCCCGCAGAACGGCAGCAAAGCTGGGAAGGGGCTGGAGCCCGATGGGGAGCGGCTGAGGGAGCCGCGGGTGTTCAGCTGGCGGTCAGGGCAGACCTCGCGGATCTCCAGAACCCCTGAGAGGAGGCTGTGGGCAGGGGGCGGGCGCCCTCTTCTCCACATGTGACATGACAAGAGCTGGCCTCAAGTTGTGCCAGGGGAGGTTTAGTTTAGGTCTTGGGAAAAATTCGTTCGTGGAAGGGGTTGTCAAGCACTGGAACAGGCTGAGCGGGGGACCTGGTGGAGTCAATACACCTGGAGTTATTTAAAACTCATAGATGTGACATTTAGGGACATGGTTTCATGGTGGATATGGCAATCTGGGTTGTAGTGGATGATCTTAAAGGTGTTTTCCAATCCCAACATTTCCCTGGTCCGTGTTCCCCCTCGCCACAGTTGTCTCCCTTCCCCACCGTCCCACGCTCCCCTGGCTGCCCCTGCCCTCCTGCCTCCCTTGGATGACTGTCAGATTTTGCTCCTCCCTGGCAACAACCCCCATTTTATCTCACCACATAAGGCACAGTAAAGCATATTAAAGTTCCTTGCCTGCCAAAGCAGCCCCTGAGAGGGCCAGCAGTGGGGACAGGGGTGGCCCAGGTGGGGGCCCCTCTTTGTGTGGGGCAAGGGGGGATGCTGGATAGGATGGCTTATGTCAGAGCTCAGAACTGTCAGACGTGGAAAAGCCCCAAATTGGGTAAAATGCCCTGTACTGGTACTTATGAATTGATCATCTTTTACAGGTACAGCAGTATGACCCAAAAGACTGAGTGCTCACACCTTTTACTCACGAAAAAGGAGTTCCCTTCCTCTGTGACTTTTCTTGTAATCTGTTTTGATTGTATATTATACTGGACTGCCAGTCCCGTGCTGGGCTGACACAGCGCGTTGGACAGGAGCTCCTTCTCCCTGCAGGAAGCTGGCAGATGCCCTCTTGGAGCAGGCACTGCCTGAAGGAGAATGACTTTATCTCCTGAACTGTGCAGCATGAATTTGAGTCTTAAAGTAATGCTGGCATACTTCACTTTCCTGAAATGCAGCACCATCACTTGCAGATGTCCATCTGCTTATTCTCTCAATTTCCTTAATGTTATCCTTCATTTCTGCTTCATTTTTTGAGTAAAATATGTCATTTTTGGAAGCCTAGGCTTTCGAACTTCAAGATCTTTTCTCTCCACTTGACTGATGCCATCCCTCATTTCCTCCTGTGTTCAAGGGAACTTGGGAGTAGCTGTGATCTCTCAGGTTGCTGCTCCAGTCTCTTTTTACTGCACGCAACACCAGAAAATCTGGTTAATGAACGTTTTAGTGAGTTCAGTGTGTTCGTCAATGTCCTGGAGTGCTGTTATTTAAAATTTTATTTAATATTTGTTTTCTCATGCAAGCTTGTTTCCCTCATTCCTCTTAAATGGACTAGATCTTATACAAAATGTCAAATATTCAGGCAGTTCCCTACAACAGGATCTCAATTTGGTTTCTGAAGCTTCACTGTAGCTTCTGTTGTGAAAGACTGTCTTTTCTTTGCAAAAAATCTGTTAATGAAAGTAGACATTTTTTGCGGAATGAGTGAAAAAATAATTTCAATTTTCATCAGCAAATGGAAATTGGGCTGTAATTAAGCTTTCAGGAATAGTTTCTATGACTTCTTTTTGTATAAAGGGTATAGAGCATAATATTGCCACCAGTGTGTATGTATCCAGATTGGGGTGTATTGTTTTCCTGCTCAAAATTACTTGGTAATAGTGGCACTGAAAAATCTGCAGCCAAACACAGTAGTAAGCAGACTTTTTTTTCCTTTCTATTTCCAGAATATTTGTAAAGTAACTTATTTGAAATGTCAATGTTTTTTCATATTTACTGTGAAGACTAAAGTATTTAGCCACAATTATTGACTTTTTTTTTCTCTTTTCTCTGTTACTTTAATCAAGTTCAAGTGGAAGGGAAGTTGATTATTCAGATGCAATAAACCTCCTCAATGTGGTTAAAAGAGACAAATACACCTTTCCCAACATGATTTATGTGCAGACAGGTTCCCCCCTTCAACCAACATCTGTATCTCCACATTTAATTCTGTCAATTAATTCTATCAGGTGAAACTCTTTTGAGCAGAAGGGATTTAAGCCTGGGTATCTATAAATAATATAATATAAACACAACCAGTTGCACCCCTTTCCTAAAGACTGCAGATAGAGGAGCTGTATGGACACATGAGAGTTTGGGCTGTATTGGTACACAGTTTGCTGGTCCATGTGAATGTGTGCAGCCATTCCAGGACCACTAGAAAACTGGATGATTTCACAAAACCTCCCTGAAACAAAGAAGCAAAGAGTACTTTTAATTAATGCATGGTAGGAAGTTTGTGTTCACAGATCTTTATGTATTTTTTTTTGTTTGTTTTTACTCACTGTTCTTCAGATCCTTTTTGTAAGGCTTTTTTGTCTTTTTTTAAGCATTAAAAATCATGAAAATACCTGTGCTAACTTGATAAAACCCTGGGTTTTTTTCCTCAGTACTTCACTACAGTCCAGTGCTTGTCAAGGAGAGGAAAATGCTGGCATTTTTTGTTGCAGTGTGCTGGAAACAAAGTTCTAGCATCTAGCTCAGGAGTGAGCACTGGTTTTTGTAGAATTTCTTTACCTTCATTATACAGAGCCTTTTTACTGTTTGAAAGACTGCCTGGCATTAAATATTACAGCATGATAACTGAGCCCAGGTCTCTGGTGTTTTTCAGCCACTGAAACTCCATTGCTGGCTCTGATGAGCTGGTAGTGCCTAAGAAATACCAGGTATACATTTCATTCTAACATAAACATTTATAAGCATGAATTAGTTATGACATAAATAATATCTGCCCACTTTCAGCATTTATCCTGCTTATTTCTGTGCACCCTGTGCTGCTGGAAGAATATGATGACACACTGTAGTTTGCTTCCCCCCCACCCCCTGCTGCTGTCTGGGATGTGAACATCTGACATCTGGAAATAAAACAGCATAAAACACTCCACTACTTGTCTACATGAATCAATCTGCAACCCAAGCTATGCTGAAAATAGTGGCTGCTGGATTAATTTCTGCAAGGGTTGTATCACATTCTTATGGAAGACTCAGCAGTTTTCATATGGATCTTTCAAAATGTTACAGGTGACGTGATTGTGTTCGCAAAAGATGTTTACTGTGGCAGAGTGGGTCAAAACTACTTGGTTCTTGATATCTTGATATCTCTTCTGGCAGATTTTACTTTTGTTGTCATTTCTACTGGGTATTTGGTATGGTGGAACAAAGTATTTTAATGATTTTATAATTTGCTCGTAAGTCAGATGGCAGAAAATTATTACAGGAAAATATGACATGTAATGTTTCTTTCAGTCACTGAAGATCTTGTTAGAAGACGTGCAGAACATAACAACTGTGAAATTTTTTCACTGGAAGAAATCTCTTTACATCAGCAGGAAATAGAAAAGCTAGAGCATCTTGACAAATGGTGTCGAGATTTAAAAATTCTCTATCTTCAGAATAATCTCATCCCAAAAATTGGTAAGTCTTTTGTCAGTATGATTCTTTTAAAATGTATTCACGTGCATAATTCTGAAATCAGAAAAAAAAAATTCTACTATATATAAGGGACTGTGCTCCTAACAAGAGTCCCTTTCCTGCTTTCTTAAATTTCTAAGAAGCTCAGGAATTTGCAAGAGAAATTTTAAATTAAAAAGATACTACTGAGATAGAAGTCACTAGTATATGAGTGTGAAACACCTTTCATGGATTTAAATTTCAAAAATAAGGATATTTTCTAAATATCCCATCTTGTGGCAGAGAGTCAAAGAGTTTACCATATACCACGGACACTGATATCACAGTATTAATTTTTGTGGTTTTTCTGTCAACACTCAGACCTTCTTCAGGTTAGCACAGATATTCAGATTGTTGCTTTTTTAACACAACATTTTTTCCAGCAATTTCATTTTTATGTTACCATAATCTAACTGTAGGAGTTGAAAAAGTATTCAACTTTCTGATTCATGTATTCTTGTATAATATGACAGCTTTCCGAGGTAATACCTTAACTACAAATGAAAAAAAAAAATAACCCCAAACCAAAAAACAAACAAAACAATCACCACCAGCCCCTCCTCACACTATGGTGGTGACCAAAATCATTGTCAACAGAGGCTGTTACATAGTATTGGAGTTGAGAAGTTTTTCTTCCCAGTGGATACCAACATCTCCTTGCAGAGAACCCAGCAGAGGACCCAGCAGTTCCAAGAATGTTTCTGAACATAATAAAAAAATGGTTTATATTGGCTCTGTTGGGCTGTGGCTTTTCTCTTCTTAAAGCAAACCTTGATGCAGCTCTCGAGATCAGCCCTGCCACATGAGCAAGCAGGGGCTTGTCAGGCATCCCCTGTCTGCATGAGAGGTACCAGTTGCTTCAACACAGCTCTCACATCATTCAGAAATACAGAAATATTCATTTCGTTACAGAAATATTGCAACAAAAACAAACATCCAAACTAAGCTGCACAAGTTCTTGCTGAGAAATTGATGTCATAATTAGTGAATTATGTAGAAAATGCCTCTCCAAGTTCTTAGTAAACTGTGGTAGGATTCATGTCACCAAATTTGTAGCTATCTCACATTTCCCAAGATAGAATGTCTCACTATGCTTTTGCAGCCATTCCTCTTGAATTAGATATGTGTTTTATGGATTTGTGATAAAAATGTGTTTATAACTTTCCTTATGTCTTTTTGCTTTTTTATTTTATGTTTTCAGAAAACTTTTTTTTGGTATTTTTATTAACATTAAAATATTAATGTCCAGTAATGTGGTACATATTCTGATTTGTCCTTATTTTTCTGCATCATAGTCGCTTTGAAGTAAAGTAAGTAAGTGAAACCATATTATCCTTTCCAGTGCTGAAAACTGAAATAATCCATCTATGTTTTGTTACAGAAAATGTGGGCAAACTAAAGAAGCTGGAATATTTAAATGTAGCTTTGAACAACATTGAAAGAATTGAAAATCTGGAAGGTCAGATTTTGAAAAAAGCCATTTTGCCTTTTCATATGAGAACACTGAAGTTGTGACTTGGTGTAAAAGAGGGTGGAAGTCATTAAGTGTCCTCACCTGTAGGGGTATTTTGTGGCTATGTAGAGGATCCTTGGGTGCAGGGTTTCAGTAAGTTTTTCTTTGTAGCAAACACTTCCTATTGCTGAATTTTCCCCACTGAACTTTCCTAAATGTCTCCAGGTCACGCTTTATCTTCAGGAATCAAATGTCACACACAAGGAGGTTCTGTACTCAGCACAGGTTGCATTGAGGGTCTGAGTTTTTTTAAAAGAGGTTTTCAGAGGATTTTTTTCTCTTTCATGGCTTGAAATCCTGTCTGTTTTTTCTGTGTTTAATCCTTTATTCTGTCACTTTTGCACATTTCATGTGCATGTTTGCATTTCATGTGCAAAATACGGCATTTTCCAAGATTAAAATCTAAGACTTGGAGCGACCCATAAACACATGCCATATGACTTGAATAATTTATTACTTTATTGTTTTCTGTTTCTCAGTTCTGATTAGGCCAGTTGCTGAATCTTTAATATATCCACCTTGACAAAGCAACAGTTAAAAAAAAAAAAAACTCAAACAAACTGATTGGTTGGTTGGTTATTTGTATGTGTGTGTGTGTGTTTTCATTTTGTTTTGTTTTTCTTTTGTTGGTTTAGTTGGGTGGTTTGTTGGTTTACTTTGTGTTTTTAAGTCTGCAAGCTGATTCAAGAGGATGGCTTAAATAAGAAACAAGCAAATAGTCTAAACACAAATTTGAAAATGGTGAAGAAGTAAGTAGTGTAGTACATATTTAGGAATTTGCTGAGAAAGTTGCATTTGTTTTCATGGCACTAAATTTTAAATTAATCTATCAGGCTGTATTATTTATTACTGCGATTTGTCATTTACTTAGGAGTTACAACCTTTGGATTGGTCCTTGCATAAATTTGGGTTATTTAAATCCCCTAATAAATTGTTCTGTTGTTTACTTTCTTACAGCTCAACTGTGCATAAAACTTAGCAAATAGACCAGGAAAGAAAAGTGATTACAGTGATGTAAATCAAAGTTGAGCTTGCTCTCAGCTAAACTTTTTATTCTTAGAGACAAGTTTATGATTCATGGACACATTATGATAAAAGGAAAGGCTAATAAATTAAAAAATCCGATTTTCTTGAGCATTTTTTTACCTAATTTAGAGTTTCTGTTTGTAATGAATTGTTTTAGTACACTTTCTCACCAGTATTTTCAATTTAACAAGTGATAAAGTATTTACAATGACAGCTGAGTCCACAGACTGGAAAACTTAACTTACAGTGAGTTTTTGGGAGATCTTTTCTTTGTACTTGAACAATATTGCCAGAGATTAACCATACCCAGAACTGGAACTCATAATTGATCCTACTGTCTTTAAGCAATTGGGTTGGATTTTAGCCATATGATTGAGATTTAGCTGAGAGGGGGTATTGAGGCAATCAGACTGTTAAAATGAAATCCAGCTTATCTGAAAATTAAATATTTAATACCTTGTCTATAAATGTCCACAAAGTTTTGATACTGATAAAACCAACGATGTTATGGTATTTTGTATTTTATTGATTTTTTTTATTCCTGTAAATATTGTAAGCTCATAAACTTTAGCTGTGAGTCACTCTTTTTACTCAGTCTTGGAAAAGATGTGTTCTGATAGAATGAAACCAGTTTACAGAACACAAATGGAGTTTTATATCCAAGTGTGTACATGTGTGTGTATGTATGCCCTGTACAGTTATGTTATGGACAAATTGAATTGAGATTTCTTTCAAACAGGCTGTGAAGAATTGAAGAAACTTGACCTGACAGCAAATTTCATTGGTGAACTCTCCAGTATTGAATCCCTAAAATGTAACATTCACCTGAAGGAGTTGTTTCTAATGGGTAACCCATGTACTGAATTTGAAGGTTATAGACAATTTGTAGTGGCAACTCTTCAGCAATTAAAAGTAAGATTTTAAAACTTAAATTTAAATCCAGATGAACCATGAGTACTGTTGGCAAAACATACTTGTCATAAACAAAATAAACACCTGTACTTGGAAAGCTAATAGACTTTTTCTTAATGTTTACAGGAAATTAAATTTTATTCCAAAGAATAAATTACTACAATAAATAATATGATAATAATTGGTTCTATTCTGATGAAACCACAATTATTCATTAACTTCTCTGTCATCTTTATTGGAGATTCTTAAACAAAAGTTTTTCAATTTTTTTTTCAAATAAATGTACAGTTCTGACACTTTTTTCCACATGGTTGTTATATACAATGTATTTTTAAATTATTAGCACAATTGCAGGAAGTTAGTGAGTTGTTGGTATCATTCCAACAATATGTACTAAACCTGCAGTGTGAGACAGTAAAAAATACAAGTTGGTGTAAAATTGCACTACATTGTATTGGCTGAAAATAGATACTTTGAGATTTTGAGGTTTTGTGCTGTGACTGAACTGATGTAACCATTTCCTGTCAATGAAACAGTCTCAGGCCTGAAATATGTTCTCACGATTTTCCTCAGAGAAGCACAGGCACTGCTTAACTTATTAAGAGTAGATTCAACTTACTCAGTTGGCAATAAACTTAGACATCAAAAGAAATAATTTTGGTCTGAATCAAAGTCAAAGATCAGAGATGGCTGAAGGGACTCTCTCTACTGTATAGTCTAATAAAACTAATTAAAATTCCTGGAAAATGCTAAAAGCAGATCTTAGACACACAAAACCATTTTCAGATCTGAATAGCAAGTTATTGTTAATTCTTTGTAATAAACTATAACTTACATAGTGCTATTAATACGTGAAAGATGCATGTCTAATTATAGACAGAACTTAATTATCAAAATGAAACTATAATTGAATAGATTTATTGGTTTGAATGTGTTTATAATTTTTCACATATTTATATTGATTTTTTTCCCTTTGGGAAGTATTTGGATAGTAAAGAAATAGAACGTTCAGAGAGGATTAAAGCCCTTCAAAACTATCCAGAAGTGAAATGGAAAATCAGAGAACAGGAACAAGCTTACCTTCTGAAAAGAGCCAGAGAAAAGGAAGAGGGTCAAAGAAGAATGCAAGAAAGAAAGGATGAGAAACAGAAACAGATGGACCCTAAGCTTGAATTTGACAGGTAACAGTAAACAACAGTTTGTGAGTAAACATTATTCTTTCTTTATTCACGTTTGGCTTTTTCCATCAAAGAGTTAACATAATTCCACTTAAATATTTTTGTTCATCTTTATGGTTGATTCAAGGCGAGTTATTTCTCCTCATCCGTATTATTTCTAATGAAAACTATAATTAGTTACAAACATAATTTATTATTGACCTGCAGACAGAGTTGAATAGAATTTTTTCTCCCAAAACTCCAAGCTAAGTTGTCCGGGTGCCAAAATAGTGTAATTAATAGCTTCTTGCAGGAGAACAGCTGGAAATTCTTATTTAAGGTAAAGCAGGGGTTCCAGAGAAAGCAGCTGTTCATCTATAAATGCTTTTGCCTTAGCATTATCTTTGTCATCTGAAGACTGAAATGGAATATTGCAGGCCTTTGGTGTTGATTTTCCTACTTCTTCCACTTCCTGTCACTGACATTACCTAGACAGCAGCAGGATTTTTGTCTGGGGTCACCTTCTATTGCACTTGCCATCCATCTTATTTTTAATCCCATAGAAACTATTTCATTAAGCTGCCTGCAGAACTTTGTCCTCAATCCTCACACCTGTATCATAAATTTAGTTTTCTCTCTCTATTGATAGACATTTACAGAAGCTTAGAGCTAGGGAACAAAAATTATTCAGGTATTAAGATTGCATTTGAGGAGCTACTCATTGCTACCTTATAAATTTCTAATCTGCCTACTATTGGGAATTTTTAAACAGCACATGGACTGAAGGTTTTTTCTCGCGTGAAAGTTGTGAGGGTATCTGAAAATTCTTTTTCTGAAATTAAATCTGTTGAACTATCTATCAGGGTTTTCAGGGGATTAAGTATAGCCACTTCATAGCCAGGTAAATGAAAAGCATTATGTCTAAATATGCTTTGTTGATTGACAAAAGAAGCAGAGTAGAGAATGTTCTCCAAATATCTAAAATACCATTCTTGGTAGGAATTGTACTGTTATTATTGGGTTGAAAAAATATGATTGCAGTAATTTATTAGCAAGTTACTTTTCCTTCATTTCTTTGGGATAACATTTCAGTGATCTTGTATAGCCCAGACTCCCCACAGGAAAAACCCAATCAGGCAGAAGGAGATGGAGAGCAGGAAAGATGCAGAACTGTTGAAAATGATGATGAAGACAGAAAATTTTGGGACGAGCCTACACCATATACTCCAGAATCTAGATTAGAAACTCACAGATATATTGAAGAAAAACGGAGAGCTAAAGACAATGGAAGGTACTTCTTTGTTTTAATATCTTTGATGAATTGAAGGAGAAATTTTCAAAGGGGCAGAGAAGCGGCAGATAGATGATTGCCTGACATTAAATATTACTGAGAACTGACAGCTTAAATCCCTGTTGCTTGTTAAAAGAGGCATGTACAGTCTAAACTAAATATTCAGATTGTTGATTTTATTTTCTATTATTTTCTACACTTCATTTAGGTACTTATTATTTTAGTTTTCCTCAAAGTTTTTGAATATTTTTTTTAACTTTTTATGGAGTTTAGAAGTTCTGCCTTTCTGTTGGCTGTTTTGTGTAGTTCAACATTTAACATTCTGCTAAAAACATTTATCCATAGTGCAGATTGCGTTATGTAATGCAGGCCATGCTACAAGTTATTTTGCACAAGTGGCATTTCAGGCACTTTTTCCATGTAACTGAGAATTTTTTTTCTCATACTTTTTGAAAAATATTTGTCACAAGTCATAAGATCCTTTATGTTATTTGGCATAGTGAATCTGAAGAAGTCTGGTCCCCGAAAAGCCTTTAAGACTTTATAAATTTGTTACTTGTTTTGCTGAACATGCAAAATATATGCAGATACTAGCAAAAAAAAAAAAAACAAAACAGTATTTTATTGCTGCTGGCTTATCAGTTCCACAGACATTGTAAACAATGTCTTTTTGTTTACAATGGGTTTTTTTCTTTCTTTCTTGCTCTCTCTCTCTTACACAACATACTTTGTGCTGGAGATTTTTTTAGCTGTTTTTTTTTAAGGGCTTGCTTTTAAAAATTTTTTGTCAAGGCTAAGTATTGAAAAAGTCAGTCCAAGGGAATTCTCCAGGAAATCTGGACATGTGCATAATTTGTTGCTATTATTAATTCAAGTTCCTGGAAGAACTTCTCTGAAACTCAGATTCTAGCCAGTTTGAGTTTTGCTGTGTTTGGAAATGCCTTGCTCAAGTCAAAATCAAATGTGTTCCAAATGCTTCCCTTTAAAGATTCAAGGACAGTCCAAAGAGTGTTATAATAAAGATAGAATAATTAATTTCTGAATTTTTCTAAATTTCCAAGGCATTGAAAGAGTTTAAAAATCTTTTCATGGGTCATTTTGATTTGGTGTTGAGAAAATTTCATGGCATCTCCTTAAAATGGTTCACATGAATAGATAGTTTCATCTGGGAACAGATTATTAAAAGCTAACAGGTGGTAGTATATAATTTCTGAAGTGTTTCTGAGAATATATTTTGAACAGAGTGGTGGTTCATTCACTTTGCATATAAGTGTCAAGTCTAGGAATTCAGGTGTGAAGACTGACAGCCCACAAATCCCACATAAAAGCTGATTTATATTATAGAATAGTGTTTAACACTTGGATAATTTTATTTCTTAAACAGAAACTGGTTTTATGTAGTTGTTCCAGTAGATCTATTGAAGTGTTTTTATTTCTTCTTCAAATCCATTGTATTTATAGATCAGGTCTATTTTTATGGTTTTTTTTCCCCCAAGGTGTTCTAAATCAATAATATTGTATATCTATCATTAGTGATTTACATTTAACATGGTCTTAATCTTGAATTTATAGTGAGAAATAGGTTCAGGAACAAAAAAGAAGCAATGGATTGTTGTTGGGGTTTTTTTGAGAAATGTTTTCCCTTTTAATATGCTGACTAAAGTGACCATAATCACTATATTGACCATCTGAAGAGTGGATTAATGCAACATGACAATTACAGTGCTTTATTTTAAAAGAAAACTCAGTATTTTTACTTAGCTGTGAGCAGACTTTTCTTTTTCATGTTACTAAGATTCCTTGCTCTTCCTTCCCTTGCTCATAATCTAAACATTTACACAGGAAAATACCAGTATTACAAGTCTTAATGGTCTTACTGAGATCTATTTTGTTTGGGCAGATAAATTTATCTTAGCTAGTTTATTGCACTTAATGAAAGTCAGACATAGTTTAATTGCTAATAGCTGGAAATGGATAGCGAGTATTAAAGTAATACATCAGTACATCATCAAAAAATCAGGAATATGTATTGCATTTTTTGAACAAAGAACACAACAAAAAATGTAATATATGCATCAACAAATAATCTATATGTCTGCCCTTTGGTCCTACTGTATCCTATTTTATGCTGCTTTTAATCTTTTGACCATTAAAATTCTTTTTGCTAGAGCAAAATAGTGATTGAGAGACAGATGCTGTTTGGAGGCAGGCCAAGCATTTGTTCAGTATGAGTAATCAAGTGAGCATGAATAAAAACTCTGTAGAATTGCTTGCCCATACATCAAGCCATTTAACAGTGGCAACACCTCATGATGAGTTTGACTAGAAAAATGAAATAGAAAAATGTCCCATTTCATAGATGTAAGCCATCCATGGTTTTCTTGTGGTATACCAGATAATTTGAAATATTTCTATTTGATAATGGACATGGTGACATACAGAAGAAGTCACTATCCATATAAGTCATGTATTTGCTCATCTTTAGATGTTCTCGATGTGACATTGAGAACATCTGTGTTGTTCCTGAACTAAATTGTAGCCTCAACATCAAATACCAGATAATTCTTACCTCTTCTGACCCTCTTCTTTATTTTTGCTATTATACATAATAATGCAACTTTTTAATGATTAATCATAAATAATAGTTCTTTCTGTTTTGTTAAGGGAATCAAAAAAGAGAGAGAAGACTGCTTGGACATTGGTCACTGCAGAAGGAAAAGTTCTGAATGTGAATGTGCCTAAGTATGTAAGGTTAAGAGGTTAAACAGTCTAATCTCTCTGTAGTTGATTTGGGCACTATTTCAATATATGAGACAATCCAAAAATAAGACAACTGAGAAATTCTTTTTGCAGTATTATATTCCTTGAGGGAAAACTGTATTCTAAATTTATATTCTGATGCTGGAAAAAGAATCAGTTGTCATTGCGTTAAGTGTTGAGGATTGTTTAACATCTTTGTCTTTAAATATTGAAGAACTTGTTTTTCTGTAAAAGATATAAGATTTTTTTGGTCTTTTTCCTTCTGTAGTAAGGCTCTTTCTTGGAGCATCTTGCTAATAATATAAAAAGTTTAATTGTTGAAGATAAATGTGTATGAGAAGTCACTTTAAATGTGAAAATATACATCCCAGTAATATTTCCAGAAAAAATCACCTGTCCTATGAAGACAGGTGAAAAACTGTCGGAATTGGGCAGGATAATCAGCTTCTGTGGCAAGAGGCCCTGTGACTCTGAGTGAGGTCTCCAGCAACAGAGGATGGGAATACAGGGAAGTGTCTTGTGTTTTACCATTGACAAAGGCACTTGGGGTTTGGGTATTTTGGAATGAGTTTCCAGGTATATCAGCCATTGATTTTACTTGAATCAAACCATTTTCTAATAGAAAGCAAGAGGCTCTGTGTAAACATTGTTCCTTATAAACAGCTCCCCACAGGGGCCTCCTGCATTAGAAAGTGGCCACTTACCTCTTTGCTGTTCCCTTGAGAAGTTTTTTTCCATTTAATACCAATTTAGCTGCAAAACCAAATCTATGAACATGCTTATTATTAGCATGAAGACTGCTTTCTAAATCTTGGACATTTAGAAATCCTTGAAAATTCAAGAAATTATATGTAGTGCACAGTTTTCAGTAAAACTGAGATAATTAAAGGTAGTAGAAGAGTTTAGTATCATGTTTAGTGTCATGTAGAGCCATGTTTAGTCTGTCTATACTTTCCATTGTACTGATGTGCTTTTTTCAGTAAAAATGTGTTGACTGGAAAAAAATTATATAATTTTCTAATCCAAAAAATAAGCCTAAAATAATTTAAATCTTGTGTTAATAGAACTTGCTTGTGCCTCTAAAAAGCAGAGACATTTAGACTAAATCCCTACTACCTTTTTTAGAAGAAACAAGAGTTCACTGTTAGTAGCATCCCTGTTTGTGTCACCCGAGTTTTCCAAATTTAGTCTGTGGATGTGCCCACATAAAGCCAGACCAATGAGCATTTTTTGTCATGACTTCAAGAATGTCACAGCTGTTCAGTGCAATCTGGCAGTGTATTGGAGAGACATAAAGAAATAGATACAAGTAAGCAGATGGTGTTCTCCAAAGTTTTTGCTTCAACGTGGAAGTCTCATGTCCATAAAAATGTCCAAACTTCTCTGATGTTCTTTTGGAAAGTTAGCAAGAGGAAAGGCTGTTTGCTGCTGAGGACAGACTATTTCTCTTCTTCAGTACTAATTAAGATTCCTCCTGGAAAATTTTATAGTTCTGTCCTCTTGTTCACCCTTCATGTTTTAGTGGATTCTCAAGATCAGTGATGCAGCCAGACAGGAAATAAAGCTGTTTTGTATTCTTTGCACTTTTCCATTAGAAAATACTCAGAAAGTACAACCCTTTGTAATCTTTCTTACAAATTGACTGTTCCAGAATATAGGAGAGCAAAGACTGAAAACTATTTGGCAAATATTTTTATTGCTGAAAAAATTTATCATCTGATCTGTTAACATTTGAGCATCTTTCCATTACCTAAACACATCTAAGTACTTTAATGTCACTGAAATACTCCAGATAACTTATATTAAGCAAAATCCTTTCATTTTATACTAATAACTAATTTATCAAAAGCTTCTAATTTGTAGGTAATTTCATTCTGTTTTTTCTCTGCTTTCATACATGGGAGATGTTTGAGCATATGAGCAGAACTTGTAAGCCTAGACTAGATCTCCTTACAGTTGTAGTAATAGATGGCATCAATTTATAACTGGTAAGATTAATTCTCAATTTTAAGAACACAGCCAAAAGATCACAAACACACAACTAATACAATCTACAGGCTCATTTTCAAATTCAAAGCTTATAGAATCAAGAATATTATGCAAATCAGGTTTTACTCTAGAAATGCAGAGACATTATACTTGGGGAAAATTAATTACTATGAACAAAAGTGCTTTTTCCTTTAAACATACCATAAGGTCAGAGTTAGAAAGTTGTGTATTTTTCATAAAATTTGGAACTTGTTTTTTTCTGTGAAGATGTAATAGAGTAACAGGTTTCACCAGCAGATGTCTCTCGTTCTGCATTGTCAGAATGAGCTTACTTTTAACTGATCTTCAGCAGAGGATTTTTTTTCTTGTGGTTTGTGTAGGGAGAACAGAAAATAAATATCAGTGACCTTGGCTCAAATACCAGTATTTTTTCTGTTCGTGGGGCAAATTACAACTGTTTCTATGATCACATGATATATTGTTTAAATGGTGTTTATATTCATCTAAAATTGCTAACATTTGAACTATGCTGTTATGTTTGCTTATTCACTCCAGTAGTATTTATCCTGGAGGTGTTTCTTTTCATTGTTATTAGGCTTCATTTTTCTCTGAAAGATGATGAAGAAAACAACCAGATCATCTTGGATCTTGCTGTTTACAGGTCAGATCTTTTTTCCCAATAATTTTTGCCACTCATAAGATGTAATACACAGTGCTTCAATTACACTGCTCTCTGTAACAGGGACTTTTCAAGAAGAAAACAAATCATGTAGTGGATAATGGAACCAATCTCAAAACCTGTGCCAAAGAAGTGAAGTTGAATAAGCCAAAGGCCCTTCAGACTGTTGTGTTAATCCTGAATGGACGCTGTGTCCAATAGTCCTTTTGGGAACTGATTTCTGCAGCCCACAGGCAGAACAGGTGTCTTCCACGCTTGTTCTCTTTTACATATGTAAAATCTTATCCATTCTTTCATTCTTCCTTTTCAGATAAAGGCTGTAGGGAGTGGGTTTTTTGCTCATGCTTTGGCCCTAGAATGCTTCAGTACAGTTCATGTGCTTCTAGTTAAAATTCTTCTTCTCCCTGAGACAGAGTAGACTTGTCTCATTTTCCTTGATTAGCGGAAAGAGTCCATGGCTCATGCCTATTGTTGAAATGTACCAGACCATTGCTTGAAACAAATTTGGTTGAATCAGGCAAAATATGACAAGGAGGTCATAGATATACTGCTAAGCTGGCATGAGACCTTTACCATTCTTCAGGTAACCCACAACTTTATCTATCCATAATAGAAACTTGTTACATAAAACTTGAACTAGTTTTATAGCACTAAAATATTATTCATGCCAGGTATGCTTCCCTTGAAAGTCATTACTTTCCCTCAAAAGTGGTTTGCTCTATGTTTCTGACTTATGTTTCTGACTTATAAGATATAGATCTTTTCCTAGAACCTCAAAAAATCTATTTAGGTGCAATAAATTGCTGGATGTACTACAGAATCACAGAATCATTTAGGTTGGAAACAACTTTCAAGATCATTAAGTCCAGCCTTTAACCCATCATGACCTTGTCAGCTACACCACAGCACTAAGTGCCACATACAGTCATTTCTTGAACACTTTGGGACCCTGGGTAGTCCATATTTTAATAGTCTGTGCTTACTTGTAAGAAATGCAGACTAAAACATTTGAAAAATTCACCTGTAAAGTAACATTGTAAAAGAAGGGAAATGGGAAATATGTACTTGTTCATTTCCATGAGTCACATCAGGTGTCACATAGTGAAGAGCAGATGTAAAAGTGGAGCTTTTATAGGCCACAAATTTTGTTTGAAAGATTTAAAGTTACTGGGTTCTCTGGGAGTGGAAAGTATATCTGTTCTTTGTTTTCCAGCAAATTCTGTACAAAAAAAAGGGAATTTCTGTTATAATTTTAGTAGCAAAACCTTCAGAAGGAAAAGTAGCAAATTATTTTCACAATTTTAAATAGTATATTGATTAATTTTCATATTAATATAAAGCACTGAACTAACAGATGAAAGACCTTTTTGTTTTCCTCAAGGATTTTGAATCCTTGCAGTTATGCAATAGCTAATGTCATGGGCTTGACAGAATTTAGACATTGTAAGTAAGTGACATTCACAGGAAGATCATGGGGTGTTTTTCCCCAAAACTTTAAATCCTAGTAGTATTTTGAAAAAATTAATAACTGAAATTTAAACTTGTGCTTTATAAACTGTGAAACTTTGAAAGAGCTGTGTGGTCTATTGTAGATTGATTCATTTATTTCATTTTATTTATATATTTCATTCTGAAGACATTTGGACACTTCTTTACTTGATGTTGATGTGCAGCCAACTTACATACGAGTACTGGTGAAGGGAAAGGTGCGTGATTTCTTATACATTCATTTCAATCAAGAGTTAATGTTTGCCAGTTATTCAGTGGACTCTGGATCTGACTTCTGTAAGTTACCAGTCATTTGCATTTATGCAGAGAGAACATTCTTTCAATACCAACATTATTTTGAACCACATATAAACTCTGGAAGTCCTAACCAGAAGATGTACAAAGCCTGAAATAAAATTTCACTTTCATTCTCTCCTCTCTTCTTATTCCCCCCGCAAGTGTACCATAATTCACTTTAGAAGAGAGCTTCCTAGTTGCCCTAGACAAGAATTTAGCAATTTCACAATCTGGAATTTATAGCTGACAGAAACCAATGGATGTATGTTCTTTTGGAAGGGCATTGAAAATGTAATTCCAGTTTTCTCTTTTCTTGGTGGTTTTAATTTTATCATCATTAAAAAAAAATAAATCAGAGTGCTTCCACAGTAAACCAAAATCCCTATTTTTAACTGAGCCAACTGCATAAACAAATCTTGAGAATTGATTTATGTCTAAATAGATTGGATAATCTTTCTCATTTAATTGCTAATATAAGTCAAGCATCATTTTATAACCTTCTTTAGAAATACCACTTCAGGAATGGCAGCAATTCAGGAACATACATCTGACTCTACTTGTAAGCAAAACTATTTAGCATAATTTATTAGGTTTAGTAATACCATACCTGTAGTTAAAGTATTTAGACCTGCAGTATCCTTTAAATCAAAGGATGTGATAGTGGTGGTTTTGTATTTGTTTTGTCGATGTGAAAGAAAGAAAAAGATATTTTAGCATGATAAACTTCAATTCCATTTTGTCTTGTAGCCTTTTCAGCTTGTGCTCCCTGAGGAAGTGAAGCCAGACAGCAGCTCTGCTAAAAGATCACAAACAACTGGTCATTTAGTTGTCACCATGCCAAAGGTATGTAAAATAGGAGACATCACACAAAGGTCCTTAAATGTTGTGAGTACTTTGGGAATGTTTCTGAGTTACAGGTAACATCTGGCTTGCTAAAGATACGCAGTCTGGCCTTTCCCATCGGGGCATATTTTCCAAAAAAGGAGCATTGCATAAAGACAATTTAATTGCACAGCCAAGCCTTAGTATTTAAAATTCCTCTACAGAAACACAATGAAAATCAGTATTAATAGAAATTTGTATTTCTTTTACTTTAAGCAAGATCAGCTTTTTTATATGCTAAAAAAGACTATTCAAAACATGCGGTATTGTGCAAATGTGTAAGAAGATAGCTTTTTTTTAAATGAAAAATCTACTTCCTTTTCCCAGTTGTGAATAATAAGAACAAATCAGTTTATCAAAATTTGTGTGGCACACATAAATATGAAGGTTACATATTTGTTCAAATAAAGGGATGATGCACTACTCTCATTTCTCATGTGTTTGGAAAAAGAGTTGCTTAATTCATTTTCCCTTCATGCTCTGCCTGGCTGGAAAAGATCCCCTGACCAGCTGTACCAATTACTGAGACCATAGAGCAAGAAGGCTGTGGGAACATGGTGTTTCAACTGAAACTGCTTGGAGCAGACAGGGAGCTGGAAGTTCTAGGGAGGTGGAGTTCCAGAGATGATAATGGATTATATAGTGGTGTTCTGGATGCTGAGGGAGAAGTTAATCAACTGCAGCATCTTCTACTGTTGCCTTGGGAGGGTTGGGTTGCTTTCAAGGCCTCTGTAGGACATCTTATACTTTTGGCTTTTGAAATATGGTAATCCTGCCCAGGGATACAGTAAAAAAAACAATCTCTTGGTGCTCTAGCCTTACTCTTATGCCCTTTAGGGAATTTCTCTGTTGTATAAGGGCAGAGGATATGTGTGAGCTCACCAGAATATATCAAATACAGCATTTCCTTCTGAAGGAAGAAACTATTTAGCTGAAATAGGCTCACCTGCTATATGGGGTCATTTTTTTCACTTTGTGATTCTGATTTAATTCTAAGCTCTAACTTTTGGCTTTATCTTTTGTGGTTATTACCTTCTATGTTCCCTTCTACACTCCAGTCCCATACCATCTGTCTGTCCCTAAGAGGACAGTCCCTCATCGAATCACAAACTGTCACTAGCATCAAACATGCATTTTTGCCAAAAATGTAAGAATACTGAAAATTGTACTTATTTGGTTAAGGTAGATATTTTCTGAATGTTCAAAATCACTCAAATGAGAATTTATGTTTCCATAAATTTGTTTTGGTATTTGTCATTTTGGATAGTGTAATTTTTAAATGTATATGGGTTTTTTTTTAGTTTAATAGGAACTTGTCTTTGCTGTTTTCTGTCCCATACACTACTTTTATTACTCATACATCTTGCTAGTTCCTTTGTGGATGATCAATGCCTTTGAAAATGTAAATATTTCCAAGTGTGTCTGGATATATATTAACTCTGCTGCCTACCTATAAAATCATACCTAAATCAGCAAAATGAATATTCTCTCTTCATATTGTGATTGAGAACTGCCTTTATTCCATTATTAACTTTATATTTAACCACATATACGTAGCTATACCTACGTATTTTGCCTAGCCTGAGGCTCTGGAGCATACTTCATCTCAGAATACATGATTCTCAGAATACATCTCAGTAAAATGTGAGGAGAGAGTAGCACTATAGAATAACTGGGTAGATGTTCTCAGCTTTGTTCTCTCTAACCTAACCTTGGTTTGGTTAAAACTGTTTGAGTAGCTTGGACACAGGAAGGGATGCATGAATGGAATGCTGCATGGTGTCTTTGTTGTCAATGGATTCTGGAAAGCAGCTTTGCAGAAAAGGAAAGGGAGTCTTGGTTGCCACGTAGTTGAACATGAGTCAGCAATACCCTCTTCTGTCAAAGAACACCAGCTGAGTCCTGAGTAGTGTTAGGAGCATGGCCAGCAGGTGGAGGAAGGCCATCCTCCCCCCTGTTCAGCTTTGGTGAGAGACACGTGGAGTGCTGTGTCCAGAGCTGAGCTCCCAAGGGCCAGAGAGACACGGACCTGCTGGAGAGAATCCAGCAAAGGGCCACAAAGATGATCAAGGAACTGGAGCACATCTCCTGTGAGGAAGGGCTGAGAGAGCTGTGACTGTCCAGCCTGGAGAAGAGAAGGTTTAAGGGTATCTTATCAATTCACAGAAATGCCTAAAGGAAGGGTGCAAAGAGTCAGAGCCAGGCTCTTCGGTGGTGCTCAGTGACAGCACCAGAGACAGTAGGCACAAACTGAAATGCAGGAGTTCCCTCTGAAGACCAAGAATCTGACTGTGAGGGTGATCAGGTGCCTGCACAGGTCACCCAGGGAGGTTGTGAATCCTCCATCCCTGGAGATATTCTAAAACCATCTTCAGAATTCCCAGTGGTCCTGGGCAACTGGCTCAAGTGGGCCCTGCTTGAGCAGGGGGCTTGGATTAGATGACCTCCACAGGTCCTTGCCAATCTCCAGCATTCTGTGATCCTGTGAACTTCATGGATTTACTGACCAAAGATGGATCTTGTGTTACTTCACTGCAATTGCATGTAAAGGATACTAACCTATTGTTCACTGTTTTACAGAATCTGTTCTCTTCCCCTAGGACTGAAATAGAGTGCTCAGTTTAAAGTTTTGGGGCCTAGATCTTCTTCAGATGATTTTGAGCCATACAAATTTTATTATGATTAATGGGATGTAATATAGGAAGAAAGGTAAATTAATAATGATTGACAACAGGAAGGACAATAAGTATTTTCTTGCAGAATATTGTGGCTGATTTTATCAATGATTGAGAATACTAGTTCAAGATCAGCAACTTAATGGGATTTCCTCTTAGTATGAGGAATTTGTATTCTGGAAGACCAGAATACAATCAATTTCTTTCAGGCTTTTATCAGTGACAAGACAAGCTTAATGACCACATTACACTGTATTTTATCCTTTTGCTCCTAAAAAACAGTTATCAAAATAGTATTGTTTTGATAAATGTATAAATGGCCTCGCACATTCCTTACATAACTGAAATGTTGTTCACTAATCTAAAAATAGTCTCCGATAATAATCTTCATGTATTCTAAAAATATCTCTCTCCTCAGTAACACAACAGAAATCTATCTGAATTCTAAGTGGTTTTCACTTGTTTTAATGACCTTCTGTTCAGGTTAATAAACCTTTCACCAATCATCTTCCAGCCTGTTTATAGTTCCCTAGTCTTTAAAAATAAAAACAAAACCTCTTTCCTTGCCTCTCTGATGACCTTGTCACATCACAGATGTTGGAGATAGTAAATTCTACATGAAGTAAAAGAAAGGAATCATTTTCACATTCATTTCTGGAAACATATTTTTTACCGTATTACTTGCTACACAACAAATCATCACAGAATGGGTGCCTTTCTAAGGCAGTGTTTACCAACATATTTTGGAAGGTCATCAAAAGAAACTGAAGGACACAATGCTCAGTGAAATATTATAGTGACACTTTTAAAGTGTAGTGTTTATACCGCAATAATCCTTTGTAGAAGATTTTTCATGAGTAAGGTGTTGACAGTGACTACATTGTACATGCCTCATGTTGTGGGAAAAATATTTGTGACATGAAGCTTCCCAGATTTTGAACCTCTATGCTCTGGCAGCATCATCTTTGCAGATGATGCAGGCAAATGAAAAACTGGGAGATTCTTTAATAGAATTTGACTAAAAATGGCAAATTAATAAATGATTTCATAAAATGTCATCAGTAGATTACACCAGCATTTTAATTACTGCCTCAGTAAAAGCATCAAGCCCCTGTTTGTTATTAACAGACAGGTTTTATTTAGAGTTCTGAGACATTCTCTGTCATGTTTTAAAACTTTCTTTTCCTTAGTTTAGTGAGTCAGAAAGTAAAATTTGGACTTTTGATTAATTCTTTATTATATTACCAGCCACAAATGAATGCTGACAGCTTTTTATTGCCTGAGATTTCAAAAGAGATTAGAAATTTAAAGATCAATGAGAGTTAGATTCCTTAATTAATCTAAAAATAGGAATGGTGGTGTGTATTATGCATGTCAGTGTTATTTGATAGAATTACTTTATATAATTCCTACTTATCTAGGTATGGTAAATGCAGTAATATTTCATTACCATCAAAGGCATGTGGAAACACAGCTGTAGAACCCTAGAAATCTAATAATCCTTGAGCATAAATGTGATTCAGGGAAAATCTGTTACACAGAGGAATTCCCATTGTAGAATGAAAAAGCCATTGTAGGAAAAAAATGGGTAGACTGAAAATATGAATAAAAATATGGCTTTCACATATTCCTTCTGTTTTCTCAAATAAACTCCAGATTTTATTTAAAACATCTCTATCTAGAATCATTTGATAATGATCTTAAAAGGGGTGCATTTTCTATTTTCTAAATAATCATAGAATCATAGGATATGCTGGGTTGGATGGAACCCATCAGGATCATCATATCCAACTCTTGGCCCTGCACAGGACATCCCAAGAGTCACACCATGTGCCTGAGAGCATTGTCAAAAGTGCTTCTTGAACCCTGTCAGGCTTGCTGCTGTGACAGCTTTCCTGGGGAGCCTGCTCAAGTGCCCAAACACCCTCTGGCTAAAGAACCTTTTCCTAATATCCAACCTAAACCTTCCCTGACACAACTTCAGGCCATTCCCTTGGGTCCTGACACTAGTTACCTGAGAGAAGAGATCAGTGCCTGCCTGTCCTATTCCTCTCATGAGGATGTTGAAGACCTCAATGAAGCCTCCCCTCCATCTCCTCCAGGCTTAAGAGACAAAGAGATTCAGCCACTCCTCATACGGCCAGACCCTTCACCATCCTCATGGCTTCCTTTGCGTGCTCTCTCGTAGCTTCATGTCTTTTTTTATATTGTGTTGCCCAAAACTGTACACAAAAATGTAAATATTGGAAATCATAGTATTAATATCATAAATACTAGTATCATAGAATAACTTTCAGAAAGCTTCATTATATTAATTTAGTAAATTTTCTTATATACCACAGGCCTCAAATTTCACACTGGTATCTTACTACTGAGCCCAAATTATACAAATCCTCACCCTTCCCTAAGTTCCAAGGTCAGTTCTTGTCAAGGATGTATTTTCTTAGGAGTGCAGAATCAGCACATTTTTTCACCATCCTTGATGATGTGCTCTGAGGACAAAGTAAGAAGCACAAGTCTCCAGGGGATCAGCAGAATGAATTTCTGTTAAAAAAAAAAAAGAACGTTTGAAATGAGGGAATGTAGAAATAAAAAAGGCTTTCTTTCCCTCATCAGAGTATATACAGAATCAGAGGGGTTCAGCCTCTTCACAATGATTTCCAGAAACAGATGACAGAAGCTACAGAATCTGTCTTTATATAATTTGGGGTTCAGAGTGGAGACTAAATTCACACGGCTTCTGTAACAGACTGCTCTCAAATCAGTTGGACTATGAAACAGTCAATAACATGAACTATTTGGTATAGTTCCTGTTCTTCCTCCTTTCAGATGCTTAAGGGATCCCTCTCCCACGCTGTTGTTATGAAGGGAAAAAGACATCCTTTTGCAATCTCCTTTTGCAACGAGATACCCTTTTGTCAATAACACATCTTCCAAAAAATCATGGTGGACGTGTTTTCTTTGAGAAGGGGAATTCACCTGGACTTTGAACCTAAGTTTCTGTTTTAACAAAGGAGCTGAGAGAGTTTGTGGGCACTTGTCATTTGAGTGAGGAGTCTAGACTCCAGCTGATTTTTTTAATAAAAATGTCAGAACAAGTACTTGTTCTGACACCAGAACTGAAATGCAATCAGTAATGTGCATTATTAACATGGTGCTAAACAAGATAGCATATATTTAAACACAAGTAGATGTATATATTTAAATACTCTTTTTTGTATAATTTTATAAATGTTTGACTATATTTCCATTCAGATAATTTGGTTTAACTTGCCTTATGTCTGTGTTTCATGCTGAGTGAAGAGTGTTAAAATGTAACAGAAAGAGTAAATGTCACAAGAGAAAATATATGCAGACACTCTCAATTTTCTATTTTTGAAAGATTATTTAAATGCTTTCAAGCATAAGTGTCAACTTTTATGAGAATTATGTTTTGTCTATTTTTATTTTAGGCTAAAGAAATAATCCTGGCTAAGCAAAAAGTTTCAGCTTCAATTAAACATTCTGACTGCAATATACAGCAAAAAAACACAAGAAGGTAATTCCTTTTTATCTTCTGCATCGGTTTTATTTTTATAAGTGTGTTATTCACATGCCAGAATATGTACTTCTTTTATGTTATTGTTAAAAATATTGATTAGTATAGAGTAAAAGGAAGTCTAAAAGCTTTAGATTAATTAACTGTCTGGTGCTGTTTATTGAAAAGTGATCTTCTTCAATTGCAGAGCCAAAAATCCACTTATTTTTGCCTATCAGTTTTTTTCCATCAGCTCATTCAGGTTGTTAACTGGTATATATTAAAACGAAATCACCTACTGAGAATGGCCTTTGCAGAGCTCCTTGCTATGGAACCCAACTCTGGAAACCTTTTAAAAAGCAGTTATTTTGAATCTCTCCCATGAATGTATTTTCTTACAGATTATACAGATTGATCTGCTGCTCTAGTAAACAGGTTCAAAAAACAATTCTGCAAGGTTTTGTAACACAGATCCATCCTATTAAATGTGATGCTAACTCCAGCTCTTGAAATCTTGTAAAGAATGACTGCCCAAAGCAAGTGAATATCAGTGATGCACTATTTTCTGTTTTTACTCCTAGCAAGTGCTACTGTAGAGACAGTGGGCTTCATGAACACTTGGCCTAAGTACAAATACCATGATACATGTTTTAATCTTTTCTTTTTGTTTTGCTATAGCAAATGATATTCATACCAGAATAAGATATTGTAACAGCAAAGTCCCTTAAGCTGTTTATCCATTTATATTTGAAGTGTTGCACTTGTTTCCTTGTTTGATTTTATTGTGTTGAATCTTGTTAAAAAGGCTAAGCAGTTAGTAAAAAATGGCATTTTGGATTGTGGCTGTTCTTGGTCTTAATGTTTAGGACACTGGCAAAATGGTTCTGCAAGAGTCAATTGTAATTAATTCTACTTTTAATTTCTTATTTCTAAGAAAAAACCGTCATTAACTTCTTTTCTTGATGATCTGCCTATGAGAAGATGAGAGGGCAGCCTGCAAGTATTTTTTGAGTACTAGTGAGCCCCAAGGACTGTACCCTCTCCTTAAGCAGCAGTCATTACAACAGTGTAACACTCTGATTACAGAGCATTTAAAATATTTTTAGAAGGTCTAGGTCCCGTGGAGGATACTTACTCTCCATTATACTTGCAAAGTCATGGAAATCAGGTCAAGTCCCTGGTGACTGGAAAAATGGAAATATTGCACCCATTTTTAAAAAGAGTAGAAAGAAGGATGCTAGGAACTTGTCAGCTGACAGAATATCATCCTCACCTTCAGGGTTTCTCCTCTGCCTGGGAGTCATGGAACAGATCCTCCAAGAAGCTATGTTGAGGCACACAGAGGACAGGGGAATGATTCAGGACAGCCAGCACAGCTCCACCAAGGGCAAGGCCAACCTAGTGACCTTCTGTGATTGAATGCCTCTATCAGTGAACAAGACAACAGCTACAGCTGTCATCTGTCTGGACTTCTGTCAGGCCTTGGTCACAGTCCTCCTCCAGCATCCTTCTTTCTAATTTGTTAAGATATGGATTTGGTGGATGGATGGTTCAGTGGATCAGGAATTGGTAGGATGGTTTTTGTCCAGAGGGGAGTAGGCAATGACTCAATCTCTGGATGGAGATCACAAGTGGTGTCCCTCAGGGGCCCATACTGGGACCAGTACATTTTCATGTCAAACACACTCTCAGCAAGCTTGTGGGTGACTCCAAGCTGGGTGGTGCAGTTCACATGCCAGAAGGTGGGATGCCATCCAAAGGGATGCGGACAAGCTTGAGAAATGGGTTCGCATGAATGTCATTGGGTTGAACAAGGTCAAATGCGAGGTGGTATACATGGGTCAGGACAGCCCCTGGTATAAATAAAGTCTGAGGGCAGAAGGGATTGAGAGCAGACCTGAGAAGAACCTGGGGATACTGGTGCATGAAAAACTGGATATGAGCAGGCAGTGTGCACTTGCAGGCCAGAAAGCCAGCCATGTCCTGGGTGGCATCAAAACCAGCATGGACAGCAGGTTGAGTGAGGGGATTCTCCCTCTCTGCTCTGCTCTACCAAGACCCCGCCTGGAGTTCTGCATCCAGCTCTGGGATCCTTAGTACAGGAAAGACATGGATCTAATACAGTCAGTCCAGAGGAAAGCTACAAAATTTATCAGAGGGCTGGAGCACCTCTCCTATAAGGAAAGGCTGAGAGAGTCTGTGTTCTTCAGTCTGGAAAAGATAAGGTTTCAGGGACACTTTCTCGCAGCTTTTCGCACTAAAAAGAATCTTGTAAAAAAGATGGGAACAGATTTCAAGGCCTAATTTTTTTAAAGTAAAAAGAGGAAATATATAAGAAAGAATTTTTGTGTTATGAGGGTGGCACCAGCTTCCCAGAGAGGTGATGGATGCCTCACCCCTATAAACATTCAAGGTCAGGTTGAATGGGACTCTGAGCAACCTGATTTATTTGAGGATGTGCCTTGCTCATTGCAGAGGGGTTGGACTGGATGACCTGTAAATTTCCCTTTGAACCCAAACCATTCTGTGAATCTATTCTATGCCTCTTCTTTGCAAAAGGAATAATGCTTTACCACAAAAGTGCAGCTAAATCTTTAAATGCATTACAAGAAAATAAAGAAACAACTTGTGTATTAGGAAAATATATTTCCTTAGAACCCTCTGTCTTTAGTTTTGGTTGCATAGTAAATGTTTAAATAATAATGGGAGCATGGAAATAATAATGTGAAATGGTGCCTTTTCCTGCCAGCTGATAAACGAAAGATATTCTGTGGCATAGTGAAACTCCAAAAATTTGTGTTTGATTTCTGTGCAGTTTTAATAATATGCTTCCTGCACATTTTCAGGGTTAAAATACTGTAGGAATATATACCACAAAAGTAGAAGTAGGAAAAGAGTCTTTGAAGTACAGTTCTTTCTAAAAATAGTATGTTTTGACCTCTTTAGCGGAAAAGTCGCTGACTAGCCAGATGTTAAAAATTTGCTGAATAGCTGTCTCTTAGATTACAGAAGAACATTCATTACAATGATTATACTTGACAGCTACAGATGTCTTAGCTAAATGCTGTCAGACATATAATCTGCCAAACTGTAATGCAGAGCTTTAAATCTCTTTAACTCTTGTTAGCTAGATTACATTATGATATTGTCATTACTTCTGCCATGTATAAGAGATTTTTTCTGTGACTATATACAAAACTGTATTTGGAACCTAAAAAGAGGCAAGTCTGTGTGGAAGGAATTATACTGATCTATAATATTTAGACTAATATAAAAATAATAGACTGATCTCTTGTATTTACAAAGCCTCTATTAATGCAGTAGCTGAGTGTGCCATTCCTTACTGGAACTGGCCTCCCAGTTCAGCTGTAAGATACCAAAGCTGAGTTCTCCACAGCTGCGTAGAGGAAATTCAGAGATAGAAAGAAACTGACTTTTCAGAAGTTGCACTGGAAATCTTAAGAGTAGCAGTTACATAAAGTTAATAATCCTTGTCTCACACCTTCAGCTTTAGGCTATTCTTCCTTTAGCATGTTGGAGAAGAAAAAAGTTAAACAAAAAATGTCTCTAGATATAAATATACACACATTTGAGTTCCTCCAGTAATTAAACATTCATAGGAATACAACTGTTTTCTTTCATTTTTTCAGTTTTCTTCCTTAGCTTTTATTTTGTTTTTTATTACTGTATATCTTTATGTACAGAGAGGTTGAGAAATGTAGCCAGACAATGGTTTAATTTGAAGAGGCAAAGGAACGGAGTGGCAATTTCTTCAGAATTAAAATCTAATCAGCAAGTTCTGATCTATAAACACCTTTTATATTGAAATAAGGAATGTAAGGTAGAGGTGATTCCTATCTTAGTAGTTCAGGCATTGCAAATCTGACTGCCCTGTCTTCCCCTCTTACCTATGCAGGAGTGTACTGTGTGACCAAGCCAGTACATGCTCTAGAGAATACCATGTAATACATGAGGTTGGAAATCTGACTTACATTCCACTGGAATCAGATCTTAGTGGTAGTGAATAATGTTTGGCTTTTGGCAATTTTTGTTTTGTTTCAGTTTTGTTTGGTTTGGGTTTTTTTCATCTGGATTCTTAAGGAGAAAAAAAAAAAGAAAAATATGCTGCTGGATTGTCTACCTCTATCTGCTGGTGAACTCATAAATGCCTCTGAACAGGTTATCCAAATTTCAACCAAATCTCACTAATTGTGAAAGATATAAAATATATAAAATTACCTGTAAGTTATATTGAACTTGAGACTGAGAAAACTTGAATGTTTTTAATCACTGTATTAGATTTTAATTCTAATAATTTTCTAGCAAACATGTCACATACAGACTCATCAACAGAACTTCTTTTATGGTTTGCAGTTTCAGTGATAAACGAGCATTATTTTACTTTTCTTGGAGAAATTTTTGGGTTTAGTTAAGCTTTTCTTTGCATATTATCAAATAAAGAATAAAAGACTGATTATTTCAAAAATTCCCTACAGCTATCTCACTTGAGATGTAAGTGTTGCTGAAGATGAAACATACTGCAAAGCTCTGTTTTACTGGATGACCCTCATTTAGCTTGGTTCATTTTGTTGGAGAAGTGGCAAAGATAAAATTTGTGATAAAAAATTGTAGATGTAAGAGTAAGAATTTTTCTTTGGGAGTGAGAAGTTCTAATTTGAATTCTTGAAGCAGTCTTTGTGAAGTGTCAGAATACTGTCTTTCCACTGACTGAATGGCTGAAAATCTCTCCCAGTCTTAAATTCCTACAGCTTACACAGAGGGATGTGATGAGTTGGAAGGCAGAGAGCCCTGTGTTGTGAAGAGAAATACAGTAGAACAAAATGAGTCATTTCCTCAGGATTGGGAGGGGGAGGTAAGATGAGGTCAGAAACTGAATGGCATTGCAGACAAACTGATCTGAAAGAGCTGCAAGAGGATTTATGTGATCTTTCAGAACCCAAATTCTCAGTGTCTAAACCAAGCACAAACATTTCAATGTAAAGAAGGACAAGTGCATCTGAAGAGTAGCCTGAATAATAGATAAGTAAATGTGTGCAAAGCTCACAAATGACAAGTCAGTTATCAGTTCTATTGAGATGTAGTGCCTTTGATAATTACCTGGGATTAGATCACAAATCTTGAGAGTTGAATAGTTTGGAGAATTAATATTTTCTGGTAATGAAGTTGGCTAGTTGTCATGAAGATATTGAAAACTTTTAGAATGCAAGTAATAATATATGGGAAAGGAGGAATCATAGGAACTGTAATTTAGTTGGCTTCTTAACCAGAAACTGTAGTCAGTTATGACTAAGAAACATGTTAAAAATGTTTTTACTCTAATTAATTTCAAAGTATGGAGTCATTTGCATTCTCATAGAGGCTTGGAGCTAATCAAAGTAGAGGGTGTGCATCTCCATCATTTGACTAATTAGGAGAACAAAAGGTGGGGTTCCTCAGAAGTGATTTGAAAATTAATTTGCACACTGGCATCTGATAATCCTTAACTATAATAAAAGTGAGAAGGCTTCAGAAATGTGCCCTTCTGGAGAAAGCATTCTCAAGAGAACACTTCAGTTAGTTCCTGATCACTATAGTCTAAAGTTATCTTTGGTTGTGCATATGGGACAAGGACAAAAGTCTGAGGGCAGAGATGGACTTAAAAGTTACTTTATAACAATCCATAATTTTGAAAAATTTAGAATAAAGTGTGTTTTCAGTATATGTTTCCCAAATGTTTAAGGGTTTCAAGTTTCGCTAACAAATTTAACAGTGAAAGGAGAGCAAATAAGATGATATTATAGCCACATATTTAAATTCAGAGTCAATTTGCATATTGCAGGTATTGGAGGATTTTTCTGGCTTGTAGACAAGGTCAGTTTAAAATTTAGCATCTTGAAGTGATTATTCAAAAGAAGGAAAGGGATGGAACAGTGAAGTTGAAAATGTCACAGTGGCTATGATTTATTGTCTAACTTTTGAAAAAAAGGATGATAGTAATATATATATATATTCTCAGTCTGATGAATACTATTCATGAAATATATTTGTCTTTTAGAACAGAATGCCCTAGATATCATCAGCATTTTCTTTATCAGAACATTTACCACTAATTTGTTAGTTATTCTTCACTGTTTTGCCCCTGAGAAATGCATTTGATTCTACCAGTATTCATGTCTTCCAGCTGATTCTGAAGACTCCAGTTACAGCTTTATTTCAGATTACACACATATATGTGGAGATTTAAAAGGTCTCTTACACAATGAAAGAGGAATTAATTTTCCAAGTATTTAAAAAAAGACATAATTATTTGCTTAGATTACCTAGTAGATTTTTTTCTAAGCTTATATTTTCAAAAAATTGAGATCAGGGTATGACAAGTATCCTATATTCACCATCAGTTTTAAACATACCTAATAAAGATTTGTCTTACTCTAAGCTCTCAAATAAGATGTCAGTCCATATACTGGAATCACTCTATTTTCTTATTCAAGAAAAAGATTTATTAGTACTTTGTCTAGGATGATAATGATTTTTTGTCCTGTTTCATTCAGTGTTAAAACATTTGAAAAAGTGCCTCTTCAAAGCAGTTTGTTGTGACTCCTAAATATCCTTATATTTATATCCTGATACCAGAAAGGAACCTTTCAGTCATATGTCAATAACCATATATTCTGGATCAAAAATATGAGAAATCTCTAGCAATCTAATTTTACTGAAATTCAAAGATGACACAGGGAAATGTATAACTGTCAAATCATTTAAATATCAAGTATAGGGATTAAAGACTATGTAAATAAAAGTGTAAATTATCAAGAAATTATCAGATATGCCGTATGTCACGCACCAGATTGTTCAGCAGACTGCTGTAGTTATGCAAAACTTTCTTTATTGTGGAGTCTTCTAATTTTATTCTTTAAAAGCGTAGTCAAACTGTGTGGAGGTAGAAGTAGCCTTTCAAAGAGAAAAAAATGTTGGGAAGAAATAAAGGATTTAATTTTTTTTGTGTGGTGCTCTAGTGTTGGACCATAATTTTTTAGGTAGAGAACACTCAGCAGCAGGTAGCAGTGTCAAAAACTGTGAACTTCATCTATTTTTAGATCTGACCTTGAAATAGTTTGCAAACACTGAGATTTTCAGCTATGTTGTCTAGCTGGTCCTTCAAGGAATATTTTCGCTTTCATAACAGCTGTTTTACCATTGCTCATGGAAGGGCTTCAGCAATAAGATGATTTTTATTCTGTTAATTACATAGAAAAACCCTTGTTCTTTCTTCAAAAAATGTTCAGGTGGTTACCCTTGACCTCATCAATACCCAGCCTCTCTTGCATGGATTTCATGATGAGAGCAATAGATCTGTGTTGTAGCTGCACTGATTTCAGCCTGGCAGAGTCTTGCTGTCAGGCAGTTGTTGTATCATGGTAGCTGGGATAGCACTGTGGAGCTTTACTGAGCAAGTGTAGAATGTTTGATCATGTCCATGTAAGTATGTAAAAATCCACTTCCTTTCTGGAAAAATTCACTGTGCTTGATTCTCAGTCTTACCTGTTGCTAGCATACTTCAAGATTGATTACATGTGTTGTTGCAATTTTGAGAATGGCTGATGCAATAACCTTATTGCTTGTTGATGTGGATTGTTACTTATGACACACTGTGAATTCATTTCTGGAGTACTGAAGTTTATTCTGCTACTAAGAAATAAGATATTCAAATTCCATTATTGTGTTTTCATGAATGACAATTTGTACAATTGTTGAACAAATGTGAGATACCACTTCTAATTGAAATACTTCAAATTAAGGAAACTCTATTCTAGCATGTGATGGAGGGACAAGCTGAGCCTAATTTATTCTCATGTTTATGCTTTTTTAGCTTTTTATGAGGTGCCTCAGATTAGTGGTAAATGATTAGTTTAAGGGCCTGCTCGCTTTCTGATCTCACCAACGGCTACTGATAAAGTGATTCCAGGTCATGGCACATTTTGTAAATTACACAGGAAACAAAAATGCTCTTTACTTTTGGGGAATGAACATTTTTCAGCGTGTTGCCACAAATGGACACTTTTTTTGTTTCATTAAATAGTATAGTGCAATAGCAGAAAAAAATCTAGCTTTATAAATTGAAGCATATTCAGAGTAAAGAAATAAGAATTTTCTTATATTTGTTTTCATTACCCGTAAAATTCTACTCTGAGTAATTTTTGCTTATGGCATTATTTGGAAAAGATTTATGAAGATTATTAAAGCAGCTAGCTTCTCTGGCTGTTTTCTGCTTAGAAAAAAATATTCACATTATTCTTTTAGTACAAGAAAAATCTAGTGGCATAGAGCTGAAAGAGGGGGTTAGGCTGATGACTGCCTCTGGAACTGCAAGAAAAATCGAGTGGCATAGAGCTGAAAGAGGTGTTTAGGCTGGTGACTCCCTTTTGTGGAACTCCTGCTTTCCTCAGCATAGCAGAGGAGCAGAGGAGAAGCCCTCCCACAGCCCCTCTGCATCTCTCCTTCAGTGGGACAGAGACCCTGCACACAGCGAGGGCTGGGATGCCTGCTCACATCTCCCACAGCCTTGATGGAGAAGCATTGGCAGAATCTGGAAGCTGCCCTGCAAAACTCTCCCTGTTTTAACAACTAAAGATGGTGTATTTTCAGTTTAAAATCTTTTTACTGTACTTTAGACTCAAATTTTCATTCCCTGTGTTGTCATCCATAAAATGCATTCTGTCATTTGCTTCCCCCTTGTTTGTTCTATTTCTAAGAAGCCTTTCTGATCTCCTGGGTAAACAGTTTTCTCACATCTCTGAAGGGTGAGGCCCTGTCTTTTCTAATGCTGAGCTGGGAACTGTGACTCAGTATAAAATGGAGTTATGAAGATGTACAAATCATGCTGTAATTTGAAGAAATTAAACATAATTGTACAATTAAATTTCCATTTTGCCATTTTTTCATGTAAACAGATACCAATTGCATGAAAACAGGTTAGATTTTTTCAATTTAATCGAGCTCCTCTCTTAGAAATAAACAATGAGATTAAATGCTGCAAGATAGAGGGTATGTTTCAAATCTTTGATCATCGTGTGATGTGGATAGGTTTCCTTAATGAGTGGCCAGTACACATTTCTAAGTGTCATCTGAAAGAGTGTCCTTAATGGCATAGAATATGAAAATTGTGTTAAAACTCTGACTTTTCTTAAAATTTAATTTAATTTTTTTCATAATAAAAACATGGAGATGATTCATGTTGCCAAAATATAAAAATTAGCTGATCAAGTCAGACAAGTTCCTACAAAGTATTTCTGTTTTCCAAAGATGGACCTGTCACCTTGAAATTAATAGACAGACAGTGGGAAGGAACCATATAAAAAGGAACAGAAAAAAAAAAAAGAATAAAAAACAATTGGATTGAAAAAAAGATCTTGCATCAAAAGCCAACCATTTGTACTGTGATACCAGCAGTCACCACGTTCTGATATAAAGGGAATTATGGCTATCTAAAATTAACTTTTGAAGTTGGAGACTAAGGATCCTTTTGTAAAAAATCTTAGAGATTTTGTATTACTTTCATGTGTTTACACTCAGGGTTTTTATTTAGTAATCAATTCTCAAGTTACAAGAACTCTTAACCCTGGTTTAATTGGACTCAGTAACAACCCTCATATCATGTGTCTATAGGCAGGCACCCAAAATAGAACCATAGAATCACATAATGAATTCAAACAGTTCTGTTATATTCAACACTAAAATTACATTTTTTCCATTTATTTCCCTCTTGTCTCAGGAATGGACAAGTTGAGAAGTTGGAAGTGGATCCTAGCAAATATTCATTCCCTGATGTGACAAAGATAATCCAAGAAAAGGAACAAACTGGACAGGGACCTATAAACCTCCAACCACAGAAGGTTATAGAGGTTAAGAAGAGCTGTGTTGGTTTTGAAAATAATGAAGATGTTCCTCCCTTAATTTGAAACATTCTGAAATACCCCCTCTATAAGTACTGTGAACGCTTGTGTTGAATTCATGACCCTCTGTGTAAATAAAATAAAATAGAGCTGAAGTTGGCAATAACATTTCCTATCAATAATTTTTTAAAGAAGGTGTCTTCTGCTGCATTTTCTGTTAGTATATTTCTATATAAATTCTTTTTTTGTAGATTGTTTACTTAGTAACTCTGAAATTAGAATAGGGGCCTTATAGCAGAGATAGTAATTTTTTCAAACAATTTACTGTCTGGGTTGAGAAATGGCACATTACTGTAGAAAAAGAGAAAAGGAAGGAAGGAAGAAAGTGTTTGTAACAAGAGTTATGATTTTTCTCATTAAACTAAGCATAGGAAAAATCTGTGTGTATTCCTTCAGTGTTTTCATTTTCATGACAGATAACAGTAGAAGAAAAGGGTATGGTTGGAGTGAGAGATTGCTGTAAACTACCATTCATCTCTGAATCTCCAGCATAATGCACAGCTCCTGGATTCTGGAGCTTTCCTAACAGTCCCATTCCTTGAAGATTTTGGGAGACAATAAAGAAAAACTTCAAGACAAAAAATAAGTTGAGTGACTTACATTGCCTTCCTTATGCATTTGTAATTGTTTATAATGGAAGACTTCATTTGGAAGAGAAAATGCTTCAGATTTAAATGAGTTTGATTTTAGTCAAAAGCAAGCAAAGTCAGGAAGAATCAATATTTTCTGCTTAAAACTTGTTTTCATCCTTAAGATAGAAGATTAATAAGATGGAGTTATAATTGAACCACTCTTTAAGTTCAGATAGTGCCCCCAGTATCCTCAGTACACAGTCACGTTGATAACACAGCCTTTAAAAGTGCTGTATCCCTAATTGTGAAAAATGTGCAAAAACCTCAGCAGTTTGAATGAAAATATTTCCATTGAATTCTGGGAATTTTTAGCCACTCTAAAGTGTTTTATAGTTTTCTTCACAGATGTTTAATGTAAGATAAAGATAAATAGTATATCTTAAAGTGCACTGAAGAGAAGCAGAAAATATCCATCAGCTTAGGCTGATGGCTTGAACCGATGCATTTTCTTCGGTTGCAATTTGAAATGGATATAGGGTAAAAAAATGAAGTTTCATACTAATGCTGGATATACTAAAAGCTGAAAAGAAAATTTATATATCTCAAAGACATAAACCAAAGTTGAATTTGGGCATTCTCTGATGGACCATCATATCATCTTGGATTTTTCTTCTGCACTGACTCAATTTTTTCAACTGTAGAACAAATTTTTCAATGATACAAGCCTCTGAGCCCTGGTATATATTTTATCAGCTCTGCTCTGGTTAATGGAGTATAAAAACATCAACTGCTTTTGCAATATGTCCCAATTTACTAGAAATGCCTAACCTTGTCAGCTAACTATGGAACAGGCATATTAAATTTTATCTCTTGATCTCACTGGGTAGTAATATGCCCATAGGGTGAGCATGGATAATTTTCTATATTGCACATCAAGGTTCTGTATTTGAGATGGCACAGGGTGTCCCTGCCCTGGGGGTGGCAGTGGGGCTGCAGGATCCTGGGGACAAACAGGTTCCAGCAGGGCCAAAGGTGACAGCAGTGCAGGAGGAGGAGCTGAGGAGGGACCCCAAGGGCAGCTGGAGGAGGGGGAGAGCAAGAGGAGCTGCAGGCTCAGAGAAGGGATCCTCCCCTGGCAGCCCCAGAGAAATCCCTGTGGAACAGAGACCCCCTTGCAGGCCAGGAAGAGCCTGGGAGTCCTAAAAGTTGGTGCTGTTTCATGAAACTGCAGCCCAAATGGGAAAACAGGCAACAGATAAAGTAATTTTTAGCAATCAGATGGACAATTTAAGTTTTTATTCCTTTCTAGCCTACTGCCTTTTCTTTCAGATGTATGAAATTTGCTGACCTTGGGATAGATGAAAAGGAAAGGTTCCACCACATTTTTGAAGATAAGAATCGGTAAATTTTGGCAGCAGATTGAAAAACTTCTAAATTTCCTGTAATTTCATAGACTGCTGTTAGGATTCTGTGATGTTTCTAAGATGTGAACCTTTTACAGGTTTTCCTCTTTTTCTTCATTGCTTATTTATGAAAATTTTGTAGGGACAGTCAGCCTTTCAAACCTTCAGCCAATATGGATGAATCTGTCAAGAGATTCAGACAATTGTGGAAAACAGGCATCCATGCAGCCTGCTCAGGTATGGTTATTTTATAAAGAAAGCTATAAAAATAAATCTCTAATGTCAAACCAACATATAATATGATTATATATATGATTATATATATCATTTCCAACTCATTTTTCTTTTTCATCTGGTTTCATTGTAAATAGATTTTGCTCTGGTTTTGGGGGGAAAAATAAAAAATGTATTGAGCTACAATGACACCTCATGGAAAAATTAATAGCAGATACCGAAACTTTCTCAGAGCTACTGAAGAAAGTGTTGTTTCATGTGGTAACCTAATCTTGGGATCCAGCCTGAACACAGAGTATATTCTGAGAATTAGCTTCAATTAACCTCTCAGTCAGGTATGGGCCATGGAGAACACAAGCAGAGGTTGATCACAGAGCAACAAAGTGCACGAGCACAAAATGATACCACAAGAGCATAAACACACCTTACAAAATTTCTGATTACTATAATGCAATTTTGAGAGAAGACAAATGAGGATGAAGGACATGGAGACAATATAGAGGAAATATCTAGTGAAATAGTGAAAATTAGTGAAATAGTGAAATATAGTGAAAATTAGAAGATAACAAAAGGAATCAAAGATAGTTAGAGCCCCCACCAGAGAAAGGAAGACTGAGGAAGGAAACTCCAGCATTGTCCCCCAGTTAAGGAAATGGCAGCTGATCAAAGCCATTGTGCATTTGGAACACAATTCTCATACTTAGAGGAGACAAAAAAATGTTGCTTTTTGATTTGCCGCTTTTTGATTTGCCACTTGCTGCATTCTGCCACTGCAGACTCAGCAGTTGTACATACAGCATTATCTCTTACTACGTAATTGGGTTAAGTAGATTAAAATTTCAGAAAGCACTGAGTGTGTGTTGTGATATTTCACCTCTAACTAGATGACTGGAAGAATTTTAACAGCATGCAGTTATGGATTTACTCATCATCCAGTAGACAGGAGATGGATGTGGTTAATGAAAAATTCTAGCAGTACTGAGAGGAAAGATGTGTAACAGTTCAGGAACGCCCTTGGATTTGCCACAAAATCTTCCTCTTGTTCTAAGATGAGGATGGAATGTAAGTTTTGGATTTGCCATCTAAATGAGAGTTTTGTTGATGTACAAAACAGGAAGTGTCCATTTCCCTCCAGCACTACATTGATTCATCTTGATCAAAAGAAGCAAAAGGAGAAGGGAATCTGTTACACTGTGACAGGATAAAGCTATCCTGCACTTCCAATTACAGTTGTAGTGCAGAACAATGTGCAATAAAACAGCAAGCTTGGTTCAAAACTACCAAAAGGTCTTTTAGTCATAGTTTTCTGAATATACTCAGTAAAAGTATATTATATATGAGTAACAGTACTGGACCTGCAAATTATGCTTTCCCACTGCATGTTTCAAATTATAATTCCCATAAGGAGGAACTGGTGAGTAGCAAGTACATTTCTTACTGGTTAATGACTATGAAAGAAAAATGTAGGGGTCCTGAGCATTAGTCTTTTTCTGAACAGTTGCTAAAGACCAGGTGTTAGCTGTCAGTGCTGGAGTGGGTAACTTCACCCAAACTAAATCATAGCCTCACAGAATGTTCAAGGTCCAGCTTCCCTGTTTAAACTGGAGCCAGTTGTCCAGTCCCATATACAGATGGTTTTAGAATATCTACAGGGATAGAGAATTCACAGCCTCCTTGAGTGACCTGTGCAGGCACCCTGTCACCCTCACATTAAAAAAAGAAAGTGTTTCCTGATGTTCAGAGGGATTTCCTGTGTGCAGCCTTTGCCCACTGCCTCTGGTCCTATCACTGGGCACCACCTAGTCACAGTTTAATTGCAAATTATAAATGTACTTCTTCTGTTACAGAGTCATTTGTAGCATGCTGAAGTTTACTGTTCTCATTTGCAGCACTTGAGCAATACCAACAGAACAAATTTTCTCCTTCCACCTCTGATACACTCAGGCAGAGTGAAAGCTCAATGAAGCTGAAATATAAGAAAACAGCATATGAATTAACAGGGACAAAAGATATGACATAATTTAGAAAACAGCTTATTCAGAGTGACAGTTCATGTTTTACTTTTTAAAAAGCAGAAATTATAAAAGCTATTATTAGTGCCAGAAGTGCTGCTCTTGGTTGCACAGTTGTGCACTGGAACTATCTAATAGTCAGGTGAGATCTCTCTGAGGCAGGTTTTGTACAAATTGTTCCTGCATCAAACATGTCACAGTCAAAACACTGTGAGAGGCACAGAGTACATCAGTTCTGGAGAATGTTTACTGTGTTGGTTTCAGCATCACCATGGATTACCTGAGCTAATTATAAAACACAGACATTAGAAGGAACAGGGAAGCAAGGAAACCATGTTAGACAGACTGGGCATAGTTTCTTCTGCCTTACAAACCCTACAGACAACAGCAACCACTCCCTTACACAGAGCACAGAAATGTGAGCCACAGATCCATTTAAGGAAACTCTACAGCTCCTCATAGAGAAGCCCTGATTTTGTGGGGATTGGCCAGGGATCAAGAGTGAAAAGCCCATTCCCTTTAGAAGATGGAATAGTACAGAACCAGCCTCTGCTTTGTCTAGGTGTTAGCATAATATTTTGCCCTTGGATGAGTTCGTATCTGCACAAAGTGTCAGTTTGCCCATATAGGGCACTATATGGAGGTGTCTCAACTTATAAGGCACTTTTCTGATATTTAACAACAGCTTTTCTAGCATCATGCATTGGAAAATCATAATGACCAGGTCCACATTGGGGGTTATACTTCTGTTCCTGGAAATACAACTTTCAGCATAGTACAACCTGGATGTCTGGACAAAAAAGGAGCTCAGAAGTTATAGAATATATCATATAAACAGAAACACTTTAAAACTCCACAGCTTTAAACTTTCTCCTCAGAAAATTCATAGGAAATATGTGTATAGAAGAGTAGACTGGTGAACATTTGGCTAGAAAGTTGTGACCTGTGGTTATGTTTTGACCCTTGCTTTTGTGCTCTTACTGCTAACCATCTGCAAGTCTACCAGCAGCATAATTATGCCTGTTTGACAGTGTACATAAATTAGTGTTGGCTCCTCTGCTTCTGCAACAAGGCAGGCAGCCATCTGACTTTTTAATTAAGGGTTTCACTGAGATTGATAATAAAGTTCCAATGTGCTTCTATATTTAAAATTAAAGTGTATCATCACTGTGAAAATTTTCAAAGGGAAAGCATCCATGGAGATTTATCAGGCACCTATGAAGTATAGCTGAAGTGAAGCATGACATCAGCTACAGAAGAAATCCAAACTGCCTGCTTTTCCAGCACCAAACTCCATTCTGCAGTGGAAATCCTCTAAGCGAGTCAAGTCCATTTTTTTTCACTCATTTT